ATTATGTATTAAATGATAAAATGAAAATAAGTTTCTGTAGAATATTTTGGATAGAAGACATAAAAAATCAGTGGTTGATTCTCTTTATACAATTTCAATCCAAAAATCACAAACATAACCTAAATAATAATAATAATAATAATAATAGAACGGTATATTTTTTGATGAAATAAATAAATTACGTGGCACGAGTGTAATGATCGAATAAAAAAATGGATATACATATATGTATATATTGGGTGACGCCCAGAAGAAAGTTCTTCTCCACGATATATACAGATCGCGGGGAGAATTGTCCATGAAATATTAAATCAGCTTGTTCGATAATCGTCCAATAGCGTAACCCTCTCACGAAGTACAAGTTACGTAAGTTATTCTCGCAAAAAACAGTGTTTCCCACCATATAGAATTATAGTTATAGTACGTCAATATACAGATCAGAGTACCACATATTTACAATGTCTTATATATATATATGTGTATGTGTAACCACTATTCTCTTTGCTATTAATTGTGCGATACTCTATTGTATTCACTGGACAGGTATCAATTATTATATAAGTTTATTATGATTATGCGCTTGAATTTCAAATTCTTTAGTTATATATATTTTAATTAAAAAAGAATAAATACTGGAAACACACTTTATATTGGACTTTTTATCAGACTTTTTAAAAATTAACAAACACTTTCAAATTATCCCGAATTATAATACCTCCCATGTGCGAAATTCAAAGACTTTCAATACGGCCCAACATTGGCCCAGTAATGTCTGTCGAAGTACGGCAAATGTTACTGGACCAGTACTGGCGATCAATTCGTCTCATTATTGGGCCAATATTGGCACCGAATCTCGGTGAATCCAATTTGCCATTATTGAGCCGATCTCCGTCACATTACTGGGCCAATATTGGCACTAATACTTGGTAATTTTGATTTGCCATAATTGGGCCGAACTCTGTTCCATTATTGGGCCAATATTGGCACTGATTCTCGGTAACTCCAATTTGCCATTATTGGGCCGATCTCCGTCACATTACTGGGCCAATATTGGCACCAATACTTGGTAATTCTAATTTTCCATAATTGAGACGAACTCTGTCCCACTACTGGGTCATTATTTGCCCATTGACGGCTGAAATGTTGAAATTATTTTGAAAAGTCATTTTTTCCAAAGTTGGAACGAATCTTTGCCCAGTAATGGCGCATTAATGGCTGAAATGTTCCTCAAATGCAGCTTATCAAAATATTTTTGTGTTGAGATGGTATAAATAATATAAATAATTATTATTTAACAGCAAATTTTTGCGGAAAGTAATTTATATTAACCACTTCGGTGGCAAGGCGTTCCAAATGGCGTTCCACGTTGCCTGGCAAGAAGTGGCAAAAATCGTGAAATGGCGTTCCTGTTTTAGGACAATTTTTAAAAACAATACTCAGCTTTTATTTATCACAGAAGAATATTTCTATGGTTTTGACATCTGGGAACACGAAAATGATGATGAAAATATGTCGTTTTTTTAAATTAAAAATTTTTTTTTTATGTTGAAAATGACCAATTTTGATATTTTTCCCAGAAAGGCGTTCCACTTTCAAACACAAATATGTAAAAAAATTGTTGTCAGATTGTCTTCAAACTTGTTACTCGGGGGTCCCCCTTAAATCACAATGGCACGGGGAACAATGAGCAAAGGCTATATATATATTATATATAATTCGCAAAAAAATAGTAATCGCAACATTATTATTTCACAGAGTTAACTTGAAAGTAAAAAATTAATACTAAAAGTATAACAAATGGATTCAAATTTTTCTATCAATAAGATATTTTTGGTTATCAATTTAATACGTAAAAATTAATTGTGTTTTAATGGTTTAAAAAATAATTTTGCAACTATTTTTTTTTTATTTAATAATTATATATATTTATATTTCATTATTTCTGCTCTGCTATAAAATAAGCCAGAAGCACACCATTGTTGTAACATTTTCCTACGAGAGCATAAGAAATACATAACATAAAACAATGAAAAACAGGTTAATATATAAATGCTATTAAAATGCATTTCTACGTTATGTCCTTGTAACGATGAACTGAATATTGCAATATTCAAGTGACACTAAAAAGTAGAAGCGACTGAAGGTGAGGCGTTCGTTCATATATACATTTATGTATATATATTCAAGTAAGTCAATGACCCACTCTCGAATATTATACTAGAAATCATCACTTTCGTTTTACACTTCGTATATTAAAAATCTTCACAATAATAATAAAATGTAAACGAAGTTAAAAATGACACCACTGGAAAATATATATATATATATAAATTAAAGTTTTATTTATAAATGCGCGCGTATAAATTTTCTGATGATAAAGAGCGATAAAGAAATTTGGAAATTTCTCAAATTTATTCGAAAAAAAGGGCTTTTTATTAAAATAGAAAATAAATATTATAACTGTATATTAAAGTATCGATTTAAGCAGAATTAATATATTCTATTTTAAATTTTTTCTAAATTATATTTAATTATTTAATTTCATTTTCTAATAGGCGATTTAAATATAGAACTGCATTCTATTTAAATTTATTTATAAAATAAAATTTTAATTTAAAGAATTTTTTAAGATGTAATTATTATTTAGAAGAATTTTAGTTTTTTGAATTAACTTTTAACGGAATTTCTTTTTTTAACGAATTTTTATGTAACAAAATTTTTAGACACCAAATTTTTATTTGGCAGAATTTTTATTTCACAGAATTTCACTTTACCCAAATTTTTATTTAGAAGAATTCTAATTTAACCGAATTTTACTTTTTATATTTAGCACAAGTACTTCAAATTTTTAAATACTATAATTTCCAATTCACCGAATCTTAATGTATACAAATTTTTATTTCTACGAATTGTTATTTGATGTAATTCTTAAAACGCCGAATTTTCATTTATCCGAATTTGCAAATGGTCAAAAAAAGTAATATCGAAAAAAGATTTCGGCGCAGTTTTTAAAACTGACAATTAAAAAATTTCAAGAAAATCGTGATTGGTAAATTTTAAAAACAGCGACGAAATCTTTTTGTAGATTATAGTTGTTTGACCATTTGCAAATTCGGCGTTTTATGAATTTTATCAAATAAAAATTCGTAGAAATAAAAATTTGAACACATTAAGATTCGGTGAATTGGAAATTCTAGTATTTAAAAATTCGAAGCACTTAAAATTCTATTAAATGAGAATTCTGCTAAATTAAAATTCGATTAAATTAGAATTCTTTTAAATAAAAAAAATTGTGTAAAGAGAAATTCGGTAAAATAAAAATTCTACCAAATAAAAATTTATGCTATCTAAAAATTCTGTAAATTAAAAATTCATATTAAAATGAATTTTGTCAAATGCTAGTTCGAAAAATGAAAATTTATCAAAAAAAATAATTATATGTAATAGAATTCTAAGACAAAAAAATTAAATATATGTAAAATAAAAATCAGTTTTTATTGAATATTTTGCATAATATGCACTGAACATGGTTTAAACATAAATGATTTAAATTAAGAGTTATTTGTGTATTTTCTAAATTTTTAATTTCTCTAAAAAAAAATTGTAACTACGAACAGAATAAGGTCGTAATACTTTTCAGTTTTTACATAAAATTTGCCATTTAAAATTTATCACAACTTTGACATCCCCTTAAGAATCTAATGAATTTAGAAATGTATCACGGAAAACTACTACAGCGCCAAAAAAGCGGTTAGAATCGGAAACACATAGCAAATTAATTTACCAACAGTACACAGAAAATTAAAAGGCATTAAAATAAACTGCAACGCTTATTATTTTAATCCAATTTTTGTTTATTTTAATACCAAAATGGATTAAAATAAGCAAAATTGGATTAAAATAATAAGCGTTGCAGCTTATTTTAATGCCTTTTAATTTTCTGTGTAGCACTAATAGCAAACAAATCTACTATTTCATCTGTCGGTAAAGTAAAAATTAACAATTTGAAAAAATTTGGGTTATTTTTTTCTTAAATTATTGTCCTATCGACACAAAAAGTATAGATTTAAAAGGTTTATAAATCAGGTGATGTAAAAAAAAATCACACGATATTAAGACAACTTTGAATCAGTAGTTTAATTTTTCAATTAAATTTCTAAAATTATTAATTTTTGGAAAGATAAAAATTTGTTATTTTATTTTCTAAAATTTTCTTTATGCCAAATTTTCATTTCTTCCAATTATGTTATTTAACCAAATATTCTATTTAACCGAATTTTTATATTGTAGAATTGTTACTTAAACGAATTTTTATTCACACGGATTTTTATCAGACAGAATAGTTATTTGAAAGTATTTTTAATTTACAAAAAGAATACTTTTCTAACCGAATTTTCATTTTTTTCGAATTTACATTTTTACAGAATTCTTAAAACGCCAAATTTTTATTTCACAGAACTTTCATTTGTCCGAACAACAATATCTGGCAAAAAAATTTGGGCGCTAATTTTAGTTATCAACGAAATTATGATTGGTTAATTTTAAAATTAGCGCCTAAACAATTGTTTTGCCGGATATTTATTCGGACAAATAAAAGTTCTGCAAAATAAAAATTTGACGTTTTAAGAATTCTGTAAAAATGTAAATTCGAACAAATGAAAAGTTTAGGTAAGTAACAATTCTGTAATATTGAAATTCGGTTAAATGGGATTTCTGTTAAATAATAAGCTTTCTAATTTAAAAAAAGTAATTATATCAATAATTTGTTGGGATTATTGAACAAAACTACAATAATGTTATCTCAGCTTCATAGATAACAAATATCTGAAACAAAATGCAAATTAAACAGAATACAAAATTAATAGTATAGTACACGTTGAAGAAACGTCAAAAAAATGATTTGTAAATATTTTTCATAATTATTATATGGATTTAAAAATGACAGTGTCATTTAAAATACCCGATATTGAAAAAAAGGTGAAAAGAAACGAAAAAAAAAGTACAAGTTGAATATATTCAACGATTTATCTCTCCTTAGGTCAACAATGTGAATATATTACACTATATTCACTGTACATATACAAAATAACGATTGTTTTTTTTTTCTTTCACATAAATAGAAAATTATGTGATTATGAGTTCTGATTATGCTCTCGTCACGTATTTTTCAATAATATGGTCTTCTAGGATTGTTCTGTAAACAAAGAAACGAATTTTTCTTTTTTTTTTCGTTCATTCCAATAAAATTAATATAAAATTCATTTTTTGACTTACAAGTGGATTGGGCCTAAATCTATACGCCAACATCATTCGTTTTCGATAAGCATCAAATTCATCATCATCTCTAGATAATCCATCAGGTCTATCTGTTCCCAATCCGGCACTATTTAATCTATTTGTCGCTCTGTGAAAATTTTATTTTTATTTTTCTTCAATTGCGTTTAAATATTAATAATTATTTTTTCTATAATTTTCAATTCTTTTAAGGGGTGCATGAATATTCATTTTAAAAAAACAAAGTTCTTATTTAACCATATTTTTGGGAAAATTTTTATTTAATAGCATTTCTATTTAGCTGAATACACTTTATAAAATTCTGCTAAATAAAAATTCGATTATTTTTAATTCAATGCCACAAAAATTCCAAATGGTTTAATATTGGGAATATTCATGCATTAAAATGTAAGGAAAAATTTTAAAAATTTTATTTTCCCCAAATATCTATTTTTCGATGATAATTTAAAACTTTAACAGGCCTCGGATCGACTTAAAGACACACAAAAAAGTCGTTTTAGTCGATTTATATTCGAAAAAGTAGATTTTTTTTTATTTTAACAAAATTTAATTGGTTAATAAATATTTTATTAGATATTAAATTCATTTTATTAATTCTGCAATGAGAATAATTCTATAAGAATATTATCAAGAAAATTTATTTCGAATATTTCAGAATCGAACTAATTTTCAAAATTTTATTTAATTAGGATAAATTTATAAAAAAAATTCTTAATGTTGCATTTTTATAATTTTTTCAAGTCAGATTTAAGCAATTTATTTGAATTAAAAATTTTTGTCATAGTTTATTAGTTTTAATAGCCAAAAAAATTTTAGGCAATACCTACTTAATCAAATTTTACAAATTTTTAAATAAAATTTTTTTTTTTAATAATAATAATTTTGGAAGGGTTAAACTTGAAAATTTTTAAAATAATTGAATTAATAAAATTTTTGTTAAATTTCAGACAATAATTAAATTTTACAGTATCAACTAAAAATAATTTATCAAATAATTTTAGATAACATTTTTTAGAAGTAATTAAATTTTCAAAGATTTATAATTTAGATTTTAGAAATTAATTGAACTTCAAGTGATTTTTAATGAAATTTTTTTTTTATGATTTCACTAAAAAATGTATTAGAAATTGCAGACAAAAATACAATAATTTGAAAACTTTTTAAGTGAAAAATGGTTTCAGGTAGTTAAATTTTCAAAGAATATTATAAATATCATTAAAAATAATTGAAATTTTTGCAAATAATTAAATTTCAAGTGATTTTGAATTAAAATTTTTTGGTAATTTTATTTGCTAATTTTTTTTTTTTTTAATTATAAACAATTATTAAATTTCATAAAAATTTTAATTGAAAAATAATTTAAGATAATTGAATTTTTGAACAATTTCATTAAAATTATTAAAAATAATTAATTTAATGGAGAATTTTAGTTGAAAATTTGTTAAATAATTGAAATAAAGAAGATCTGCATTGTATACTAAAAAAATGTATTTTGTTTAAATATTTTGTAAAAAAAAAAAATGTAAAAAAAAGTCGGAAAAGTCGCATTTTATTAAAATAAGTCGAAAAAGTCGTATTTTTGAAAAAAAAAAATCGGAAAAAGTCGTATAATCCGAGGCCTGAACTTTAACAGACAAAAATCTCTTACTTATTTACAGGATCAACACGACCACTGCCTTCACTTCCCAATCCTTGACCTTCACTCCACCCAAGTTTTTGTAACATTTGAAAACCTAAAAATGAAAAAAATATATGTAAATTTGCAAAAAAAAAAAAAAAAGATCTTCACATTCATCTCTTGTTATATTTTCAATTATTTCTAAAAAAATTAAAAAAATACAAAGATTTAAAGAAAAAAGAAAATATTGAATATAAATAAAATATATCCGTATATATAAGAATATTGTCTGTAAATTTTGTTATTTATCACTTTTGATTTATTTATATAACATATATAACATATATTTCACGATAAATTGTATTAGCATAAATTTATTTAAAACCTCTCAAATAAATCAAAGATGATAATCTTATTTAATATCAAGAGTACACTTTTATCTCTGAATTATATTATAATAATATTACCTATATTATCTTCTTTTAACTTGTACTCTTTATAATCACTGAGATCGGGCTCTTTTCCCTGTTTAACCGCATTATATTGTTCCATAAATTTTCTTAATTCCTCAGGTGGTAAAAAATCACCAATATGATGTTTTCCCTCTGACTGAGCTGTTAATTCCTCAGCCCACATTTGTGTGGCTTCCATTTCCGCTGAACGGATTTTATGCTCCCACGTTCCACCCTCTGTTTCTTCATCGCTGTCATATTCATATTTATGTTTTCCTTGAGCTTCCAATCGTTTTACTTCCTCACGTTTCTTTAATAGATTTTGATACAAAAGATTAATCTGCAATAAAACAAAAAATTAATATATATATAATTCTAAATTATCATTTTTTTTAATAGTGATTTTTGTTAAAAAAATTTAACTATGAAAGCTAAGGAAAAAAATTCTTTTTAATCACCTTAAAATGATCTTCAGCTTTTTTCCATTGTTCCTCGCTGAGATCTAATGAACCAAAAGTTTGTCTCGCATATTGAACCAAAGATGGATCACTTCTCGATACTTTTGATAACATTGGATTTTTTCCTTTGGCTTGCATTAAATTTACAGACGGCATTAGTCCAGAATTTTGACCAATTTGACCCGTTACTGAAACACCAGGCTGTGCAACTTGTCCTGACATTGTTAATGGAATTTTATTCTCAGCATCACCCCATCGACTGCGTCTTTTTCTTTTGCGTTCTTCTTTACTTTCCTCTTTGTAACGATCTGTAAAAAAAATAATAATAAAATCAAACAATAATTAATGCAAAGAATAATAATGAAATTAATAAAAAAAAAACTAGTAAAATAAATCAAACTTACCCCCCTCGAAAATAAATGTATAATTTATTTTTTAAAATAAAAATAATAATTACCTTGAAGTGAAGAATTTTTATTATGAGATTTTTCAGCATCATCATTATCACTGAGAGCTTCCTCTGGACAATAAAGATCACCACCGCCGCAATATTTGGACTCTTTTTCAGCTCGATATTTTGCCACTAATCCTCTGTACTGCAGATACGCTGCACTTTGCTTTTGGTGCAGAAACCTTGATTAAAACAATACTTAAAACGCTGCCAAGTATAAGATTTAATCCTAATTATTATATAATTGAACATTTTTTCTCACTTTCAAAAAAATTTACGCGACCGAGATTTAATTAATTCAAAGAAATTTAAAAATTCAAATAAATTTCAAAAGAAAAATCAAATTTACGCGTACAAAATTAAAATCAATTTTTCGACAAATGGACTAAACCAAAAATTATGAAATACAAAAAAAAAGAAAAGAAATTTTATAAAGTTCGTAAAAAATTTATTCCATAAAATCAAAAATTTTTTCCATACTTCCAAAATTTCAGTTAATAAATTAAATTTAAAAAAAAGATTCACAAGTAGAATTTATAAACAAAGATTTTTTAATAATTCAGAGAAAAATAATAATTATATTAATCGTTCTTTATTTACTAAATTCAAAAAAAGTTGAATTTTTGTTAATTTTTAAAAAATGTTAAATTTAGAAAAAAAAAATTATATACGTATTAATTATTATTAGTCAATTAATAAAAAGAAAATTAAAATAATTAATAAAAAATTATAGAAAACTTTTGTTAAAAAATTTAATTAAAAAATTTTTTAATGTTAATTTTGAAAGAAATATTATTATTATTATTTTTATTAATTAGTAAAAGAATTCAATCGAATCAAATATACATTTACTCTCACATACATTCGCTAAATTTGTTAAATCAAATACAATGAATGAATAAATAAAAAATTGTCAATGCTACATTAAAATGGAGAACAGTTTGTTAAAATAAATAGCAGGAAGTAATTAATAAACACACTATAAATAATGAAAAAAAAAATTTTTTTTTTAATTTTATAAATTTACCAAACTTGTAAAACTCTCGAATGAATTTTAAAATTATCAATTAATTTTTCTTCATAAGTTAAAAAAACACTAAACGATAATAAATATTAAATTAGAGTCGTCATTTTTAAATTACTTTTAAATTTAAATTATCTACGAATAACTTAATTAAACAACAAATTATCTAACTGCAATTAAATGTCAGTTTTTTTTTTTTAAAATAAGTTAGTCTTTTAAAATTATTAATTTGAAAATTATCTATTAATAAAATTTATTAATAAAATATTAATAAAATCATCAACTAAAACCACTTTCTAAAGTTGGGATTATAAATTATATAGATACTATTATTTATAACAATTTTTACAATAAAATTATTGTTATAATAAAAACCAAAAATATAAAAAATTATAAAACCTATTCTATTTCTATTAATACCTTTGTAATTAAAAACAAAAATTTACTTTGTAAACAATTAAATAATTGACAACCGCAAATTACAAAATGCATTGTAAAACAAAAACAAACATTACAGAATTTTGAAATTCGGTGAAAAGTAATAAAAACTAAAAAGTGTAAATTATTGTAAATTTGTCTTCCGATAGTTGTCATTAAATTATTTACTTGTAAGTAAATTTTTTTGAGACGTATGATTATGTTCTAAAAATTATTAGTTAGAATTGTCAGTTTATGGAATTTCATTTGTCATAATTATTTTTAAGTCGAATTTTTATTTGTTCGAATTAGTATTTTACAGAATTTGCATCAAAACGATTTTCTATATTACAGAATTTTTATATAACCGAAAATTTATTTTACAGAATTTTTATTTGTCAGAATTTTTATTTACTCGAATTTTTATTTAACAGAATAGGCATTTTACAGAATTTTTATTGAGTAGAATTTCATTGCATGGAATTTTCTTTCAGATGAATTTTCATTTGTTCGAATTATTATTTGATATAATTTCCATGTAACCGATTTTTCATACTACAGAATTTTTAGTTAACCGAAAAATCATTTAACAGAATTTCTAATTGATAGATTTTTCATTTGTCCGAAATTGCAAATGGCCAAACAAACAATCGACAGAAAGATTTCGGCGCAATTTTTAAAATCAACCAATGAAAAATTATCCATAAAATTGTGATTGGTTGATTTTAAAAATCGCGCCGAAATCTTTCTGTCGATTGTTTGTTTGGCCATTTGCAATTTTGGACAAATGAAAAATCTATCAATTAGAAATTCTATTCAATGATTTTTCTATTAGGTAAAAATTCTGTAGTATGAAAAATCGGTTATATGGAAATTATATCAAAAAATAATTCGAACAAATGAAAATTCATCTGAAAGAATAAAATAAAAATTCTATGCAATGAAATTCTACCCAATAAAAATTCTTTAAAATGCCTATTATGTTAAATGAAAATTCGAGAAAATAAAAATTCTGACAAATAAAAATTCTGTGAAATGAATTTTCGGTTATATAAAAATTCTGTAATATAGAAAATCGTTTTGATGAAAATTCTGTAAAATACTAATTCGAACAAATAAAAATTCGACTTAAAAATAATTATGACAAATGAAATTCCATAAAATGAAAATTCTAACTAATGATTTTTAAAACATAATCATGCGTCCTATTTTTTTAACTATAACTTAATTTAAGGATAAAATGCAAAAAAGCAAAACCAAAAAAATAGTTTCCAAAAATGGAATATTTATGAATGCGAAAAAAAACTCTTAAGCAAAAAAAAAAAGTGTTTTGACATTGTGCAAAAATTGTCAAGTGCACACACGTCATTAAAATAAAGGTGTTAAAAATTGCTGAAATTGAATGTATAAAAATCGACCACAAGGGACGATAATTACCATAATTTAGGATCTTGAGCATTCTTCTCTCGAACTTCTTGTTCAATTTCATCACCGCAATCAGCCACTATTTTTGCAAGTTGCTCTGCTTCTACGGGACAAACTTCGAATTTTTCGTAATATTAATATTTCTCTAATTTCATTCAATATTTACAAACAATTATTTCCCTTGAATTAACGTGTGAGTTTTGTTTATAAATAAATAAATTTAAAAATAAATAAAAACAAATTGAAAACAATTTACAATTTTTATATTAATATCCAAAAATGAAATTTTTTTTATAATTTGTTCTAATAAAGATAATTGAGAGAATAATACGATCCCCGATGTAGCACTTTTCATTGAGTTAAATAATTTGTGATCAACTTTTACTTAAATATTTTTTTTTTTTTGCTATATGTTGTGAAAAAATCGAAATTTGACTAAAAATTGCGAAAACAAATATATTGAGATTGATTTAAAAAAAAAAACCACAAGTGTACATAATGAGTAAAATGCCAAAGACTCAAATTTTGTTAACACGAAACTTATAATAATTTTCGTTAAGATAAATCTTCAAAAATCAACATTTTTTAATCTGTTTCGCTTCAGAAATGTTCCAAGAATTAGAAAAAAATTAATTAAAAAAAATATTCAATTTTAATAATGGGTAGATAATATTTATGGGTAACAAAAATTTATTTTTAAACAAACGATTTTTAAAAATCGCGCCGAAATCTTTCTTTCGATTGTTTGTTCGGTCATTTGCAATTACGGACAAATGAAAATTCTATCAATTAGAAATTCTGTTAAATTATTTTACGGTTAAGTAAAAGTTATGTAGTATGAAAAATCACCTCCCTGAATTCGGCGTCGACGTTGAGCGTTGAAAATTATTTTTTATGGGACCAAAAATATAAAATCATTTTTAAAAACGTTTTGGGTCCACATAATACTTTGAAAAGTATTTGGACCAAAAATATTTTTTAAAAAAATAATTTGACATTTTTAGTCATGTAAAAACAATTTTCGGCGCTAAGCGTCGACGACAATTTCATGGAGATGAAAAATTGGTTATATGGAAATTATATAAAATAATAATAATTCGAACAAATGAAAAATCATCTAAAAGAAAATTCTATCCTATAAAAATTCTTTAAAACGCCTATTATTTTAAATTAAAATTCGAGCAAATAAAAATTCTGTGAAGTGAATTTTCGGTTATACAGGCCTCGAATCGACTTTAAGGCTAAAAAACTTGTTTTAGTCGATTTATATTCAAAAAAAAAATCGAAAAAGTCAATTTTTTTTATTTTAACAAAATTTAATTGGTTATTAAATATTTTATAATTTTTTCAAGTCTGATTTAAGCAATTTATTCGAATTAAAAATTTTGTCATAGTTTTTAGTTTTAATAATCAAAAAAATTTCAGGCAATACTTAATCAAGTTTTACAGATTTTTAAATAAAATTTTTTTTTAAATAATAATTTTGGAAGACTTAAAGTTGAAGTTTTTAGAAATAATTGAATTTCAAAAGATTTTGTTAATTTTTTAGATAATAATTAAATTTTACAGAACTAAAACTAATAATTTATCAAATAATTTTAGATAAACATTTTTTAACAGTAATTGAATTTTCAAAGATTTACAATTTTGATTTTTGAAATTAATTGAACTTCAAGTGATTTTAACTTAAAATTATTGATGATTTCTGTTAATAAAAAATTTATTAGAAATTGCAGACAAAAATACAATAATTTAAAAAATTTTTAAGTAAAAAAAGGTTTCAGACAGTTGAATTTTCGAATATTATAAAAATCATTAAAAATAATTGAATTTCATGAGAGTTATAATTGAAATTATTAATTTTCAAAAAATTTTAGATGGAAAATTTTAGAAGCTTTTAAATTGAATTTTTCGAAAATAGTTAAATTTCAAAAAATTGTGTTAAATTTCAAACAATAATTATAATAAGAGAAATTTTTAGTGATTTCTGTTGATGAAAAATTAATTAGAAATCACATACAACAATTGAATTTCAAAAGTTTTTAATTGAAAAATGCTTTCAGATAATTGAATTTTCCAAGAATATTATAAAAAAGTCATTAAAAATAATTGAAATTTTTGCAAATAATTAAATTTCAAGTTATTTTGAATTAAAATTTTTTAGTAATTTTATTTGCTAATTTTTTTTTTAATTATAAACAATTAGGGTCAGTTGGGGTAAATGGGGACAAAAACGCTATTTTTCACAAATTACGTAAGTTTCTTCCTTTAAAAGGTTATTTACGTTCCCAGGATTAATTTTATGTAGCAGAAAAAAATTTAGATAAGCGTTAAACGCAAGAAACTGACTGTCCCCATTTACCCCAAAATTTAGAAAATTTCATAAAAATTTGGGGTAAATGGGGACAGCATAGTTTCTAAGAAAGTTTTAAGAAAAAAGTTTCCTTAAGTGTATTACTATATTAAGGGATGGAAAAACTTGAAAAAAAATTTGTAGTAGTTATATAATAATTGAACTAATTGAAATTTATTTATTATTTTTTTTTTATTTCAGTATTTTGTCTCGCATTTGAAAAAAAACAGACTTAAAAATCATACCAAATTTTTTTCTTTTTCCTTATGACTCCCATAACAGAAATTCACTTGAATTTTTGATTTTTGTTAATTTGGTTAATAATGACAAGCTGTCCCCATTTACCCCAATTGACCCTATTAAATTTTATAAAAATTTTAACTTAAAAATAGTTTAAGATAATTGAATTTGAGAAGAATTTCATTAATATTATTAAAAATAATTAATTTAATGAAGAATTTTAGTGAAAAATTTGTTAAATAATTGAAATAAAGATCTGCATTGTACACTAAAAAAAAGTATTTTGTTTAAATTTTTTTTTTTTTAAATGTAACAAAATGTCAAAAAAGTCGTATAATCCGAGGCCTGATTATATCAAAAATTCTTTAAGGAGGTTATAGGGATTGACTGAACTAATCAAAACAGAAACCATTATTTTATGATTTGACTTTCTCGGTACTGTGAAACGTCTGGCAACACCACATTACGTCAGTCAAGTTGCAAATGGTTGCTATATGACTTGTTTACTTTAATAAAATAATTATCCCTCTATTTAATTAACTTTAATTTAATTTAAAAAAATATGTAATCAATTTTATTTATTAATTTTTATTTTCTTTTTAAATATAACGTATTTTAAACGTGCTATCAGAATCAACATTTTAAAATTTAGCGCGCAAAATTAACGTATAATATGCATGATCAAGTGTGCAACGTTGCCACACGTTCCGACAGCTGTTCAATTTAACGTATAAAACGTGAAATATTGTTAAAAATTAATTTATTGCAGCTCCCACAAGAACCTAATAACACTTTTTTAAACAGATATTTAATCACTAAATATCTGTTTTGTATTAAAAAAAGTTTCATCAATTTTCTAATGTTAATTATTTTGTGGTGAGTAAATATGTATGAAAAAGTACTTAATTTCCATAAGACACAATGTTAATTGTTAAAAAACAAAAACGTTTATAACTTTTTTCACAAGAACCTAGAGGTCTGAAAAATTTAGCTACATAATTTTCAAACATTTATCTAATAGTAGACCAAGTTTCATTAAATTACTAATGTTAATTCTATTTCCCCTATAACCTCCTTAATATAGAAAATCGGTTTGATGAAAATTCTGCAAAATACAAAATTCAAACAAATAAAAATTCATCTCAAAAATAATTAAACGACAAATAAAATTCCATAAAATGAAAATTCTAACGATTTTTAGAACATATTTATCCGTCTCGATTTTTATAGGATAATATTATGCGTCTTACTTGTGAAATAGAAAAAAAGAAAAAGAGGCATTTTATATATAATAATACCTAATTCCGTTGGTTGTCCAGATAAGGAAGGCCTCACAGGTGGTGGTATTTGAACATTAGGCGGTGGTCCAACAGCAATATTAACCTGATTCGCCAATGGATAGGAAGTTTGTAATAAATGCGAAGGTGGCGGTGCATTTTGAATAATAGCAGGCGGCGGTACATTTGGCGGTGGTATATTTAAATTTGGAGGTGGAATTGAATTAATAGTCGATGGAACAGTATGAACAACAGATGGTGGTGGTGCTGACATTATCATAACATTTGGTGGTGGAATATTGGTGACATTGGCAACAGTGACAACAATTGTTTGCGTTTGATTTATTGGCAGCATATTGGGTGGCATTTGTGACATTGATGGTAATAAATTTGGTGGTGGACGAACATTTGGCGGTGGAATGTTTGGCGGTTGATGAAGATTATTTGGTGGTGGAATATGAGAAGGTGGAGGCGGTGGTGGTGGTGGTGGGGAAATAATATGTTGATTTGTATTTGATGAAGGCATCCCTTGAATATTAGGCACAGGAATATTTGATTGCATTTGAATTCTTTGCGGTGTTTGTGGTGGTGGTATATTTGTATTGGGTGGTGGTGGTAAATTTTGCATTTGATGTTGTGTGCGAATAATATGACTTGGCGGTGGAAGAGACATTCGGGAATCGCTGGGATGATTTTCAATATTTGAAAAATTATTTTGATTTGGTTTTTGTTGCATTGGCATTCGTTGTTGAATATTTGGAGGTGGAATATTTTGTGGTGGTATATTTCTTAAATTTGGTGGTGGTATATTTGTCATTTGCATTATTGGTTGGGACATGAGTGGAGGAATGTTGGAAGTTGAATTTGTATTTTGTGATTGAAATTGATTGTAATGTGAACGGGGACTAGTTTGATGATGATAATTGTGTCTTGTATCGGAATTTGGTGATGTTCTGTGTCTTGTTGGTGAGGGACTTAAGGAAGAACTTTGTCGTCGATCGGTATTTCTTCCACTCCATCGTGAATCATTTCTTCGACGATCCCTACGATTTTCCCAATCGCGACTTTTTTCATTACTCCATCGACGTTCTCTGTCACGTGAATTATTGTCATAAGACTTTTCATCCTTTTCATCTTTATTACGCTCGTCCTTTTTCTCAGGTTCAGTCTTTATTATTATTTGTGGTGATGTTGTTGTTGTTGATGTTGTTGTCTCTTGTTTAATTGGCCCTTTATTGTTGACAATTTTCTTAAATTGATCCAAAAAGCTGCCATCGTTGGCAAATAAATTAACTGTCGTCGCAGTCATTGTTGGCTTCTCATCCTCCTTCCTATAAATAAACAGGTGCATCTCTTTTTTTTTTTTTTTTTTTTTTGACCTCTTTTCGATATTTTTGTAATTAGCATATTGTCTGCGGTGACATTTCAATTTATATATAAAAAAAAGACAATAATTTTCGATTCTTTGTTTTGTGTCACGCTCTAGTGGATTAATAATTAACACACTTTGGGGACAAAAAAAAAAAAAGTTTGCAATATTGAATATAATGAAAGAGTTCTTTTTTTTCAAAGTATGTCACATTAACGACACAACAATAAAAAGTTTATTATTATGACACTGAAGTTACCAACGTTGAATCGACGAAAAGAATTTTTTTTTTCCTAAGATTGAAGATTTCCCCGCCTTAATTGAGGATTTTAGTATTTAAAGATGTATTCGGGACCAAAATAAAGAAGTTTCAATTAAAAAAAATTGGTTCTTGGCCTTTAAACTAATCTGAAAACGAAAAATTCGTTCGTCGATTCGTCGAATCAACGTTGGTAACTTCAGCGTCATTTATTATTTTACATATTTATAGTAAATTTAAAACATGAAATTCAGTAAAAATTTCTTTCTCTTTTGATAAAAATTTAATATTTCTTTTTTAAAAAAATAATTTCAATTCTATTTTGTGAAATTAATTTCCAATATTCAAAATTACTAAAATTTAACTAAAAATAATTTTTATTTTATTTATAATAAACAATTGACAAGTGAATTAATTTTTAGAATCTTATTTTTTTTTCTATTAATTTTCTTCAAAAACTGAAAAAAATCATTTAAAATAAAAAAAACTTGTAATAAAATAAATAAAAATATTACATTAAATAAACAAATTAAAGTACAATTTTCCCGCGTAAAACTTGAGTTTAATTTTAATAATAAAATCTCATGAATAAAATATTCGTTTACAAAAAATATAATTTCTAACCTAGAACTTGAACTCGTAAAATTCAATTATCTTCAATATTGCATGATCATTAAATAGTCAATTTATTTATTAATAATATCCAACTTCCGTGTTGTGAATAATAATAAAAAAAAAAATAAAATTCAGAATCAACAAATTATAAAATACATAATATCTACGATTCAAAACACATTAAAATATACAAAATTAAAAAAATATCGAAAAAATAATTTACAATAAAATTTCATTTATTATAAAATATAATTCATTAGATTTTTTTTTTAAATATTACATTTATTCGGAATACAATGAATTTGGTCGAAATTGGCTTTTGAGTGAATGACATCAATAAAATATGAATTGTAGAAAGAAAATAAACATTTTACAAATAAATAAAAAAAAAAGAATAAATATTGTAATTTTAATTGATTTTTTTTTTTTAATGAATGAGTGAAAAAGAAAAGTTTATGTAAATTTTTTAAGAAAAATAAACTCACTTATTTGAGGTGTTAGTTTTGCTCGTAGTAGCGAGCGAAGCAGACGATGTTGACTTTTTGGCATTTTCTATCGCTTGCCTTGCCTTTTGTTCTTCGAGTTTTGCTTGAATCTCAAGTTTCTTTTGCTGAATAATTTGTTCTTGTTTCGACATTTGCGCGAATCTTTCATTTCTCGATGTTTTTGACACAAATGGATCAGAGCCCTTAACACCACGATACGCCATGTTTACTGTTCACCAAGCGAAACTAAACTGTTATTGAGAACCACTGATGGCAAAGTTAACGTTTAGTACCCGAGTTTCACGCTAGAGGGGCAAACGCACAATTGGCGCTAAATTTGAATGTTTTATTGATAATTAAATCAAGAAAAAAGTTATTTTTAATATTCATAAATTTTATAATATAATGCTAATAATTTTTAAAGCTTATTTAACAGTCTCTCAATATTGTGAAATATTATGAGAATCAGTAAAATTGTTGTTTTACTAATAATAAAAAAAAAAAAAAACACTGACTTTGATCTGAAGTTGTAAATTAAAATTTTTGTTTTTTTTTTAATCTTGAAATCCTTTTTTTTATTTTTATTTGAATAAATAAAAAATAAATTTTAACGTAACAATGTTAATAAATTTTATTAAATTGAATCTAATTCCAAAATATTTTTTCGAAAGTGTTACAGAAAGTAAGAATTTATCATTTTCTTTAACCTCTATATAATAATTCCATTTTTTCTTAACCAAAAATAATTTCAATTAATTTAATAATATCTATTATCTATTCTATGTATCTATATAATTTAATAAATAATTGATTTAATTTCTATAATTCAATAAAAATTCGTTAAAAAAATATTTTTAAAAATAATTAATTAATTGTTAAAATAACTATTTTATTTCTTTCTTTTAGCTAAAAAAAAATCAATACGAAATGATTTTATTTTTACGTAACCAAAAATAATTTCAATAAAAAATTTGTTTTTATATACAATTTAATAAATAATTTATTTAATTTCTGATTTAGAAAAAAATTCGTTGAAATAATTATTATTTTCATCAATTTACAGGAAGTGCATTTTTATCAATTATTGAAGAAATTAAAAAAAAACTCGGAGTTGGTACTCGTAAGAAATATTTTTCTATAGAAAATAAATTATATATTTTTTTATAAAAAAAAATGTTTAAATAAAAAATATATTTTAAAAAAATATATTTTGTCAAAAAAAAATAAAAATAATATAAAATTTTTCCTAACTTTCATTGAAAATAGAAGAAATAATCGAAGAAGTAATTCCTATAGAAAATTCCGAATCGCACTTGGAAGATGAATTAAATTCAGACCTTTTAGAAAATCAAAGGAAAAGTCATCAATCACGAGATTATCCCTATCGCTTTGAAAGAAAATAATTATGATGAAAATAACTTTTTTTCGCCATTAATAAATTATTTAAATAATTTATCGCGCCTAATAAAAAAAAATTAAAAATATAATTATTTCTTTTTAATCAAAATTTTTTAAATAAATTAATTATTAATTTAAATTTTTTAATTTAATTTTTAATTAAATAATATTTTTCAATTTCTTTGGTCTATTTTATAAAATTTATTGGAATAATTATAATTTAAGTACCCTAATAATAATTTTTAATGTAGTGTATTACGCTTTAAAATACATTAAACTTTAACGATATTGTAACACTGAATAGTTAGTTGTTAAATCGATAATTCAGAATGGAGGAAACTCATATAAAATATGTCTTTGTGAATATTAAGATACTCATATGTAAAAAAATTTAATTTTAAATACAATTTTATTGCAAAAAGTTTTGCAATCTTTTAAACTATTTATAATTTTAAAAAAATTTAAGTTACACACAATGTTTGAAGAACAAAATCATGAAGAAGCAGTTTTGAGATTAATGAGAATTTTAAAGGACTTTTCATTCAAGATTGAAATAGCGGTAAATTATTCGATAAACAAAATCTCAATTTATTAATTTTTTTTCTTTTTTTCCATTTTTAACTTTTATTCTTTTAATTTATTTATATATTATTATCTATTATTGTTTATTAATTTTTATTATTATTTTTGTCATAATTGATTTAATTCCAAAATTTTACTATATTTGTTATATTTTTATTGTTTCAAAATAATATATATATATTTTATCAACGAAATAAGAATTTTTTTTTCTAGATATGTCTTTCAGAAATTTTCAAAGAGGAAAAATTAATGAAAATTCTGAAACCAAGTGAACAGCAATTATTTGAAAATATTTACGATTCCTACAATTTTTTACAGAGTAAGCTTTTTTTTTTTTGCTTATAAATTATTTATTAGTTTACAATTTAGAAAAAAATATTTATAAGATAAATTTTATTTTTGCTTGCGATAAAATAATTATTTCTTTGAGATATGATTTTTTTAACAGAAAATGAAAAACCTGAAATTTTTCAAGAAGAATCCATCATTGTTGATTCAAAACTAACATTGTTACTGGAGGTAATTTTTCCCATCCACCTAAATATATTTTAATATCAAATTAAAATTTAATTATTTATTTAAAAATTATTGAAATTAAATTATAATTTACAAATTATTCAAAATTAAATTATAAAAAATTATATATTATTATTATTATTATTATTATTTTATAAAAATTAATTAATTATAAAATAATGAAAAAAATATTCTTCTTTCAAAAATGAGATTTTATATAATTATCCCGAGGTGAGAAAATTAACGAAGAAATTTCTAGAAAATGCGTCAACACAAATGAAGCATTTAATTAAATGCGTGAATATATTTAATGACGTTGTTGAAAAACAAATAAGAACTACTCCAAGTGAAGAAAGAAAATATAAATTAAAACTTAAAAATGCTTCAGCAACTCTTGAAAAATGTAAAACTGAACTTGAACGTGAGTACTTTAAATTTATTGTTTATTTACAAATATAATTTATTTAAGAAAAAAAAAGAAAAAAATTTTTTTTTTCATAATCTTAATTTTTTTAGCTTTAAAAACAATCTTAAATGAACAAAGAAAAAAACATACGCAATTTGTAAAAGGAATTTTGGAGGAAATCACTAAATGTGAAACAATTATTAAAGAAACACAAACGGAACACCATAAAAATATCACAAAAATTGTGTAAGAAAAAGTGTTTTAAATAAAAAAAAAATTTGAAAATTATGTTTTTAAAAAAAATTAATAAAAAACTTAATTTAATTAAAGAATTAAATTAAATTGAATTTACAATAAAATTTAAAAAATAATAATTTAATAACATTAATAATATTAAATAATACTAATTTTTAATAATTAAATTAATTATTAATTTAAAAATATTGGAATAATTTTCTTTTAGAAGTGATTCAGAATCAGAAATGGTTAGCACGTATCTAGAAATGCGAGAAAAGCAGGAAGCCATAGAAAATCAAATTGTGATTCACGAAGAAGAGTACAAGAAATTATTAGATGAGTGCACAAGTCGTGAGAAAATTGTCCATGAAGCACAGTTAGTTAAGAAAAAAGAAATGTTAATTAAAAAAAAAATTTTATTCTTAAAAAATCAAAAATTAAAAAAATATAAATTTTAAAATTAATATCAAATTATTAAAATATTAATAAAGGCGTCAATAATAATAATAATGTGTAATTTAAGATTTTTATTAATCACTTTTTTTTCCCCTATATTACAGTTTAAAATCTGAAAAACAATTAATTTCGTCCCTCATAAATTACGATACCAACATTACTGCTCTTCATTTGTCAAAAAAAGAATTATCATCCGATTTAAATAATCTAATAATGGAGTTTAAAAATCTTCAGGTAATATTTTATTATACATTAAAAAGTAAATATTTATAAAAATTGCTTTCAATTATTATTTAATATTTTTTTTTAGTTCTTTTTTTTAATTTTTATAAAATTTAACCCTTAACTGGCACCATGGGTCCAGTAGACCCGAGCATTTTTTTCGAGCACGAATTAATTGAATTTGTAGCTTTTGAATATTTTTTATATTTTAATATATTAGTTTCACATATTCTTAGTAATTTTCTAAGTTTTTTGATAAAACTAATTCGATAAAAAAGAATAAATTAGCTTTAAAGATTAATAATTATAATTTTTAATTTTAACCTAAAAAGTCACATTTTATTTTGCAAAATAAATACTTTTTTTGCAAGATTAAAGAATTAAATTAGATTAAATTTTTGTGCACAAAAATATTCAATACCGGCTGTACAATACACGTTTGAATACATCGGGTCCAGCAGACCTATTGTGCCATTTACATTCGAAAGCGAAATTGTGCCAGTTAAGGGTTAAAAAGTGTAAAAAAAAAAGTTTTTTTAATTAATGATATTTGTTATAGGTATTTTTATTTATTTAGTAAATAAATAAATATTTAAAAAAAATCGTATATGAAATAAATTAATAAGTATAATTAATATTTGTAATGTAAATCAATAGGATGCTTATAATACCCAAGCAACGTCTTATGCAATATTAAAACAAGAAAAAGAGGAAGCCTTAATGAAAGCATTTGCTGAGAAAATGGAAAATTTCTCCATAAACAGAGCAGCGAAAATTATACAAAGAACTTGGAGGGAGTATCGTGTTAGAATGTCATCAAAAAGGAAGAAAAAATCAAAAAAGAATAAAACTCCACGACGATAATAATTTATCACTATAAAAACTTAAAAAAAAAAAATTAATTACTTTACCGTTAACCGGGGCTTTTATACTCAAAAACGGTACTTTTTTACTCAGTAAGTTTTACTCCTGTAAGTTAGATACAAAAAAAAAAGTTTTTACCCAGATTTATAGAAAATTGAACTGGCGAGTATAATAGCCCCGCGGTTGGGGCTAGTATACACAGGAAAGTTTGTTTATTTATAAAATATCCTCAATATTTTTTTATACAGCTTTAGCTATATGAAATATTTTCTGCAGATACTCTAGATTAGGATAAAAAATAAAAATTTTTTAAAAAATTTTATAACATTCAACAAATTTGAAAGTTAAACATTTAAATTTTATTAAAATTTATTTTTATTAAAACAGGTAAAATTTTTTTTAAATTAACATTTTTTAGGTTTAGTAAACAACTCAGTATAATTTCTAACAAGCTTTTTAAATTATTTTTAGGAGAAAACGTTAGAAAATTAACTTGAAAAACATATGAAATATTAATGAAAGTTACTTTTTAGAGGTTATGTTGTACATTATAATTTACATATTTCTGGTTTCTTTACACAAAAGGATATCAAAAATGTATGCAAAAGATGCACTATACGCTAATTTACTTTCTAGAAAAAAATTTCGAAAAATAATGAATTTTAAAAAGTGAGTATAATTACCCAGAGAATCCTGGTTTTTTAGTTTTTTACACTTTTCTCTTAACATACGCAAACTATCATCACAATTAAATTAAATTAAACTATCAAATAATATTTACACCGAGCCTCAAGTTTAAACATTTCAATATAAATATTTAATTAATTAAAAACTAGCGCTGAGTATAATAGCCCTTGGATGAGTAGAATAGCCCCGGTTGATGGTATTTTACTTAATTTCAGAATTAAAATTATATCAATACATTTTTCCATTTCTAACACAATTTTTTGAATGTAATATAAAAAATTATTTATTCAAAGAAAGAAAAAAAATAATTATTTTTCAAAATAAAAATAGTAGGTATGTGTTTTTAAAATGTATAGAAGTGAAGTGAGCTTTTATAAACAGATTAACTATCCTACTAGCATCCTTCCTTTTTCCGTTAGAAAATTGCTTTTAGATGTAAGAGATGCAATCAATGAGTTTATTTACTACTCTTTTAAAAATATATTTCCTTTGCAAAAAAAAACTTCATATATATTTTTTCTTAAAGTAATAAAATAAAGCCTGTTTTTTCTCTCAAAAAAAAAAAAAAATTCTACTTGAAATGTAATAATATATCAAATAAAGACGCAATAATAAATTTTGAACATTTAAAAATTACAGACAAATTTTACAAAATTCAAATTAAGAAATTAAATTACATAAATATCAAGAAAATAATGTTTCATTGAATTGTGTAATTGTATCCATATTTAATTAAAAAAGAAAATAATTTTCTCATAATTCCTAACGTTTAAATATAGTTCAATATAAAATATACAACTTCCTGAAATTCTTCTTCGTATATTTGAAATTCCTATAGTTATGTTAGAAATTCAAATTAAAATTCCTTACAATATTTATGAAACCTCAATGACAATATGTCACCATTTTATTAAAGTATATTAAAAATAAAAATTTTACAAAATAATAAAATAAATAAAAATAGTATTTTGTTTAAAACAACCAAATAAATGTATTACTATACAGTTATAATCAAACTAAATATTTATTTGAACTAAATAAAGTTGTCTAATTTTTACATATTTAATCTAATTTTTATTTATTTGCACGGAATTTTGAGTTTTTCAAAAAATTAATTTCTGTACAAATAAGTATACAAGTCGAGCATAATTTGGGTAGAATATTTGTTTTTGAAAATTTTCACATTACTGGTCTAATTTTTTGGATATAAATAAGAATTGATGTTCCGGATCTTAAAAAGGCACACACGCTCAAAAATTTGCATTACAAGTTTTGGCCTCTGGTGTTAAAATTTTGAAATTTTCAATATTAAATTCCAAACGATAAGCGAATCATTAAAATTTGATACTGAACAATTTCAAAATTTTAACTCCAGAGACCAAAACTTGTGAAGCAAATTCGAGCGTGTGCTCTTTTTAGATCCGGAGCCTCAATTATTAGTTTAAATATAAATTAGGCAAAGTGAAAATTAGATCATATGATAATTTGAAGAAAATCCATACGCATCAAGTATGTAAAAAGAATTATTTATATTATTTGTTTATAGAATTCATAAAATTATTATTTTTTTATTGTTAAAGTAATTAAAATTTTAAAATAATAGATAGAATATATTTTCTAAAATTCTTCTATCAAATAACATAATTTTACTATATATTGTTGAAAATAATTTGTAAAAGTGTGGAGTAAATAAAATAAGTTTTTACTTACCCAATGAAAAAATTGTGATGAACTTTCAAATTTTCTTGACACTTTCTTCATTTTCACTTATTAAATATGTATTTCACTTTCGTAACACTAAAAGCAAAACTAAATCAATAGCGCCGAAAGTTTTGCGTTGGTCCTGAGTTTAATTTAAAAGATATACAAATTTATTTAAAAGATTTTAATTTTCTTTTTATGTCAAAATACATGAAGCAAATTGCCAAAAGCAATTCAGCTAAAAAAACATTTTCTCAGATCGGGATAAAACTTGCACATAGTTTCAAGGTGAGCCTATGCCCCGTTTAGAAAATATATGGGGTCAAAGTTAACCATTTCCAATAAAAAAATATATATATCTAGTAATTTTACATTTATACTCGAATAATAATGTTCAAGAAAATAAGAGGAAATGGTTCCTTTAAGATTTTTGGCTGCTGATTACAAATCTCAAATAAAATTTTCAAAATTCAATATGGCGGATCCAATATGGCGGACGAGTATTGTAAAAATTTATCGGATTCGATTGAAACTCGTTACTCGAGGGTTTTTAAGGTTTCAAGTGAATTCGACCAACTTTTCATATTTATTCCGCCATATTGGATCCGCCATTTTGAAAATCTGATTTTAGATTCGTAATTAGCAGCCAAAAATTTGAAAGGAACTATTTCATCTGGTTTTTTTGAATATCATTATTCCAGTATAAATGTGAAATTACTATATTTTTTTTTTATATCCAGACAACATAACAAATTCCAAGAACCTTAATACGGAGAAAAATGGGATTGTTGTGCAAACAATTTTTGAATTGTTGTCTGTAGATTTGTTGATATTACAATTCGAAATGTTAATATTACAATTCGGATTGTTGTCAATAAAAATGTATGTTGTTTTAATAACAACACGAATTTTTTGTTGTCAGATTTGTTCAGTTTGCAATGCCGTACAGTTACAGAAGCAAACTCTGTGTCGATTGCTGATGGAACAATCCGGATTTGTTCAGCTGACAAGTTTATTGTTCCATGTCACGTGGTCATCTTGAATTCTTGCAAACTGGCGTGCAGATTGTCGCGTCGTTTGCTTCTGTCACATATGCCACTTTTGCTTTTATTATTAGTTTTTTTTTAAAAATGACAAAGTGCTGTTAAATAATGAATCCGGTTAAAGTGAGAAATCTATTGCAATTGTAGTGAATGGATGAAGAGACAATTTTATCGTTTATCGGTAAGTTATAATCGTTTACCATTGAAGATAACCAAACCTTAACAAATACAAAATGTATATTAAATATTATTTAATAACAAATTTTAACTCAAAATAATTTTTTGGTTTCAGATCAAAGAATTTGATTCAGAAGCTGCATGTTCCACAGATTTTTATGCAAATTAAACTGGTGATATGACCTACGGAAATCTGCTATCGATTATTATTTTAGAAGGCGAAGAAACTGAACAAATCAAAGCTTTGTTAATACAATAAATTGTATTGCCGATTTAACAATTTAGTTTTGTTATTTTAACTGTTCCATAACAATTTTCTTTGTTCATCATACAATTCTGTTTGTTCACCGAACAATCCAAATAGTTTTAATAACAATTCCATTTTAACAATTTTTTTTTGTCCTAAAAACAAATAGAACTGCTGGTTCTATATTGACAATCCGGAATTGTTGTGTGGACTTAATTTTTATAGTAACCACAACAATTCTTTTTTCTCCGCGTTCCTGGAATATTTTTTGGAAGGTTCCGCATATTTCAAAGAATATTCCAGGAAGATTCGTGCAATCTGTTGTGCCTGTCTGGCATTGGACATGATTAACTTTGACTTCCTATATTTCCTAAACATGGTATATTCTCACCTTAAAACTTTTCACGGATTTTTGGGTCATCATATTTAACTATTTGACATAAATAAAGTTTCAAAATTCGAGGTTCGAAAAAGGGTCAAAAAATCGTCGGGTTAGTGGAAACATATCCATTTCAGAAAATCGTTTCAAAACATACCAACTTGTGAAACCCGTATAAAACATACTATATCGAATGACATTTATAAAACGTACCATTTCAAAATAGTTATTTATGTGGCAAGGGCGCAATTCCTCTACAATGAAATATTTTACAAATAAATAAATTTAACATAATTCTGAACTTACCAATTGAAAACTTTTGAAATTCCGCACCCAAGAAGCCTGAAATAAAGTATTTTTGATTAATGAATTTTTAATAAACAATTAATAATTTTTTTGACTTAATTTTTTTTCAATTTGGTAAAAATAAACGTTTTTAAGTTCCATTTTTAATTTTTGGATGAATTATTATTATTTTAATCTTCAATTTGATTAAAACATTACATCTTATTTTAACATTTTTGGTCCCTACTCTTAAAATTAAAACAATGATCAAACTTCAAAATCATAAAAAAGAAAATAGTCGTAATTAACAAATTATTTTTTTTTACTATTCAGATTTAAAATGATATTCTTTTTACCAACAATATCAAATTCTAAAATCATGAAAATTAAAAATTTTAATGTAAAATTTAAATTGTAATTTTGTACTATATTTTGGTTGCGACCCAAATGATAGAAATTGTTTAATGGTTTTTTAGGGTCCTTTAAGAATAATGAAACTAGATGTTGTTTTGTTAACACGTTTCGATTCTTGGTTTGGGTCCTCTTCAGTAATTTATTATTTTCTGTAAAGTACATAATTTTTACACGTAAGAAATATATTTAAATAGATAATAACAAATTACTGAAGAGGCTCCAAACCAAGGACCCTAAAAAATCACTAAACTGTAAAATTTAAAGTTTGATTTAAGAAATCTTTCGTGAAAGACTACTGTATCTGGGGCATTCTATTTTAAAATTATACCCCTAGTAAACAATTGACAATATGAGACAATTTTTAAATAATTATTTCTCCTACATTTAAGGGGTTAGACCACTGTGAAGACCGAAAATCAAACCCATTTTTAAGATTTTTTTTCAAAAACAGAACAAAATGAATCAAAAAATCAATTATATATTATTGTTGCATGGAGAGAAATAGATGGTACGGGGTACTATCTAGGTAGTATCAGGTACCATATTTGATCTTACATATACGGACAACTATCTAGATTCTATCAGTTACAATCCAGATTGTACGGAGTAACATCTTGATTGTAGTATGGGTAACATAACCATATTTTTTGTAACATCTTTGATAGTACCGAGTAGCATAATGATTGATCTACAAAAACACTTTTTTTATGCAGAGGTGTACGGCCGGTAAAAAATCTTTTTCAGTTTTTGACTTAGAACAAAAAACCAAATTTTTTCTTAATTTATAACTCAAAATCTATAGAAATACATAGGGGATTTTAAAAAAACCGATTTTTGTGAAAATGGCACGTGTTTGACCAAAATTTCGAGTTTTTTGGTAAAAAAAATCAGTACAAAATTTTTAATAAAAAAAAAAAAATGTTTTTGATAAATAAAAAAACCCCTACGTACTTCCATAAAGAATGTTATCTTGAAGCTGTAAACCATTTTTTAGCAAAATTTGGTAAAAAATTATACGAGAAAAGTTACCGGCAAGTTTGAAAAACTCGGTTTTGAGAAATACGCGTAAACATATGTCCGGCACCGCAAGGATGTAAAATTTAAGCTTTTAAAAATATTTTACCTCTATAATAATTATTGTTTCTCATTTCTAATACCCTAAGGCACCTTTTTAGCAAAAAAAAAAAAAAGAATTTCGATTTTTTAAAAATTTCACACTAGTCTAATCCCTTAATTTAAGTCAAATTACTTTTGCAATGAGTAGTTTCGAAAGAGAAATTTCTAAACTTCATTACTGTAAAAAAATAATAAAAAAAAAATATTTAATTAGTATAAAAAATTTAGTTTGAAAATTAAACTTCTAAATATATCAAAATACATTGTCTCCAATTTTGACAAAATCTATGTCGAAAGAAAGATTAAATATATTATTTTTTATTTCCGTAAAGTTTATAATGGACATTTTAAAGGATTTTGAGAAATTAATTAAAATTCTCAGACGTTTCAGAGGTTAAAAAATTTTTAAACCAGAAGCCAAAACTTGTGATGCAGATTCGAGCGTGTGCCCTTTTTAAGATCCAGAGAGCCTCAATTGTCTTAGATATAGTCAATTGTGTTTACTAGGGGTATAATTTTAAAATAGAATGCCCCATTTATATTTGTTTCAAATAAAAATGTTCTTTGTCACAAATAAAATTTTTATTTGAATCAAATAAAATTCATTTGAAATAAAATTGTTTTATTATTAACTTAGCTCTGAGATAAATATATTTCTTCATTTAGAGCTTAATGACCCCAAAAAAATCATTAACATTTAAACAATAAAATTTCATATACAGTTCATAATATGATAATTTAGTGCGTTCATTAGGCAAAAAGAAAAAAGTTTAGTTTGATTTAGTGAATTATAACACTCGCTAAATTCATACATACATATATCTATATGGGGAGGGGGTGGATAAATGATGAAGCGCATGCCCCAAGCTGTTTTGCTGGGCCGATAGTCAGTCAGGCAAGCCGGGCTCCAGGCGACCGATCATTACCAGGTATAAAGTGCCCGGGACTACCAGTACATAAATACAGGGCAAACAATATACAAATTAGAGGAATCGTTTGTCCCTAATCCTTTGTGAGTTAAACTTTCTATTAATCATCATCCCTTTCAATTATATACTATCATTCACACAAAACACTCATTAAATAAAATGATTCACAATAATTATAAATCATATCATCCTAGCGCTTTTCGTTTCAATTCAAATTCACATTTTCCCACTTTCTTTGACATTCCTCACTAAAGAATTCTCTAAATCATAACAAGCATGTGGGACACCTGTGGCACGGTTTAATCCAATGACAAAAGTCTCAACGAGCTTTTAAGGAAAAAATAACAGTGACAAAATTTGGCTTTTTAATTCAAAAATTTTCATTTAAAGTGCGGGAATTTTGTAGTGAACATGTGCAGTGGAAATTAAACTTATTTTGATGTGATTCGAATAAGATATTTACTGTCCAAGTATTTGTAAACACACGATAAAATATATATATAGAAATAATAATGGATCTACGATTTAAATTATGCTAATCTAGACAATAAATTCAATCTATGTTAATGTGGAAATTGAGATTGTATATACATATATATAGATTCTAGATAATTTTAAATTTAGGGCAAGTGAATAAATAAACAAAAAAAAAAAGTTTTAGTGAATCACTCGCATTTGATCAATTTTTCAAAAAGTTCTTTTTAAAGCTATACCATAGAAGAAAAATATTTTTAAATTAAATATAAATCTCTTTTGAACTGCTGTAAAATATTTAAAATACTCTAAATCTTCTATTCTCAAAGTAAAAATTTAAAAATTTTTTTTATCTATATCACTGAAAAAATACGAAGCTGAAGTACGCAACGTTTATATAAATGATTTTTAAAGAAATAATTTTTTAATATGAAAAATTCTGCAATTTTTTGCCTAAAAAATATTTCTTGTAGTTTTCGTTAACCAACAAATTATAAAAAAATATTTTTTAGGCAAAAAATTATAGAATTTTTCATATTAAAAAAATATTTCTTTAAAAATCGTTTATATAAACGTTGCGTACTTCAGCTTCGTGAAAAAATTATATTCTAATTTTAAGAATATCTTCTTTGCGCCTATTTAAGAATATTTCCCATGCATTTTATTCTTACATGCATAAAAATCTTCACCTGGAACAGCGATATATATTTCTCTAGAATAGCGAAAATTTTCGCTGTTTTAGTGAAACATATCGCTAATTTAGGTAAAGATTTTTTTGCCTGTACTGTTAGAATATAATATTCTTAAAATAAGAAACAATTCTTAAATTAAGAAATATTCTACAGACAAAAGAAAAAAAATTCTTAATTTAAGAAATGTTTAAGAATAAAATGCTTGGGAAATATTCTTAAATAAAGAAAATATTCTTAAAATTAGAATATAATTTTTTCACTGATATAAATGAGCCAAAAGTTTTGAACGTTCAAATGAACAACATTTTTTTTGTATCTTCTTTAAGTACGAATTTTATTACAAAATATTGTTTTAAATATCTAAAAAGAAGTTATTAATTTAATATTTGTTTAATTTACTGTTTTCTTTTACATTGACATTATAATTTCTAATAATTTATAGATTGAAAATAATATTTTGTTCATTTGAACGTTCAAAACTTTTGGTTTATTGATATAATTAAAAATTTTTTTTTAAATAATCTACATTTAAAAAAAATTTGATTAAAAAAATCAGTTATTTGACTATTGTCAAATAAATTTTTGCTTGAACCTATTATTTTTTATTTCAATCAAATATATTTTAACCAATAATTTCTCTATATGTAACAAATAAAATTTAGGTAATTGACTTAAATAAAAATTATTTACTTTAAAAGAATATTTATTTGATAATAGTCAAGTATGCAATTATTTCAGTCTCAAATAATTTTTTTTCAGTGCACAACTTTTTAAATAATTCTAATTTAACCAATTTTTAATTTAGAATAAAATTCAAAAAAACAAAATTAGGAGAATTATAATTTAACTAATTATTAATTTAGAAGAATTATCATTCAATAGAATTTAAAGTGATTCCAATTTTTAAATGTAAAAATTTTCAATTCATCGAATCTTCACATGTCCGAATTTTTAATTTACGCGAATTGTTATTTGTTATAGAATTTTTTAAAAAAATCAATTTTTTATTTGACCGAAATTACAAATGTCCGAATAAACATAACCTACAAAAAAATTTCGGCGCAATTTTTTAAAACTGACCAATCAGAAATTATCAAGAAAATTGTGATTGGTCAAATTATTTTTAAATTGCGCAGAAATTTTTTTTTGTAGGTTATGTTTGTTCGGAGATTTGTAATTTCGGACAAATTGAAATTCGGTTTTTAAATCATTTTATCAAACAAATAAAGATTAAAAATTTTTTTGAATAAGAATACGAAAATTAAAAAAAATATGTTTCTAAATTTTTGTTCTACATTAAAAAAAAAAAAATTTATTTGATTCAAATAATCGGTTACTTGACTATTATCAAATGAATATTTATCTATAGAGTTAAATCAAATAATTTTTATTTGAATTAAATAAATTGTATTTGAATTCCTTTTTAAGTGTAGGCAGTTAGAATTCTATTCTTATTTTAAAAATATGGAATTTAAAATAATAAAACAGAAAATAATAAAATAAGTGTAAAAAAATTTTTTCAGAATTATTTTTAATAATAAAATTTCTAGATATTTTTAATTTAACGAAGACGATAATTTTTTTTTTCAGTAAACATGAAAGATGCAATTGACAAGTGAAGAAAACAATCAACATTGGAATTGAGCACTAGGAAATAATTAACGTGACAAATAAAATTAAAAAAAACAAAACAAAACAAAAAGATGACTGGAAGAATGAAATTGTCATTTAGTTCTCCCGTCAACGAAGAGTCTGATAGAAATTTAGTGATTGGATCTTTGGAGCAGCGTAAAGAAGCCTTCAAAGAGGATGAGGAACTTATGAAAGAAACAACCAAGTTCGTTACAGAAGTTATCGAAACTGCTACCACGGAAGCAACTAAAAGAAAACTTGAAAAAGAGGTCAGAAAATATTTTTCTAAAAAAAAAATAAAAAAAAAAAAACAAACAAAGAAAAATCTTCTGACCTAAAATTTAAATTTAAAACTTTTCCTCGCGATTATTTTATAAAAATTTTGACTTATTTGTCCCAATTTTGCACTACGATTTCAATATGAATCGTCTCAAAGCACTGAAAATTGTGGTGACAATAAATTTTTCTCAAAGATAAATAAGATTTTTTTTCTCTAATCTGAAAGTTGTAATATATAATTTTTTTGATCTTAAAATTATATTAAGAAAAACTTAAATTCAGTCGTTATTTGGATTAATATAAGTGTTTTTACAAACAAAACAAAATTTATTCCAGTACGCATCATACATCAGTGAAAATTACAACGGTTTTCAGTAGCGTTGAGCGTAAATAGTCAGACATAAAGTAAAAGTACAAAAATAGCTGACTGAAAATTGATTTAAACTACTGATTTCTTTCTCTAAAACTTCTCTGTTATGGGGCATTCTACGTGAAGCGGACAACAACCTTTATTTTGCTTTATTTTTTAATATAATCTTCAAATATTATAATTTTATATTTTACATATTTACATATTTCCACATTAGAAAAAAAAATACTAAATATAATTCGATTTGAGTGTCAATGGTTATACTGAGATTTTCGGGGTCACTGAATCTGAATTTGAGGTCAGATTTAAAAAATTCAAAATGGCGGACCAAATATGGCATTCAAAAAAATTTTTAAATTGACTAGATTTGCATAAAAATGGTTCCTTTAAGGTTTTTGGGGTCGCTAAATCCAAATTTGAGGTTAGATTTAAAAAATTCAAAATGTCGGACCCAATATGGCGGAAAAATTTTAAATTGATTCGATTCGTTCAAAATTCAGTACTCGGGGGTTTTCGGGGTCGCTGAATCTTAATTTGAGGTCAGATTTGAATTCAGCGATCCAAAAAATCCGCTAGTACCGAATTTTGAACGAATCGAATCAACTTTAAATTTTTTCCACCATATTGGGTCCGCCATTTTGAATTTTTTAAATCTGACCTTAAATTTGGATTCAGCAACCCCAAAAACTTTTAATACGATGATATGATATTTTGTTGGAAACTTTCTTTTTGGACCGTTTTGGGCCCACAAACGATTTTTCTACTAGACTGCTAAGGGGTTAAACAAAGAAAAATACGTAGATGTTGATTTTGTAGTAAATTTAATGACTTTTAAAGTTATGGTATTAATTTTGAATATTAGATTAATTTTAACTTCAAAAATTAGAAAACAAATTTTTAAATCACGTCGCTAACGCAATAATTCGACCCGCACCAATTTTGTGTATATTAAATAACTTTTAATCCATTTTACAAAATTTAAGCCATATTTTACGAAATTTTTAAATATTTTAAAAATCATCAAACTCTATAAAAAATTGATTAGAACTTTTTTTTAATTTTTAAAGTTAAGACTTTTTAAAATTAATACTATGTCAAATGTCATTAAATTTATTCTAAAGTCCATATAAATATTTTCCTTCGTTTAATGGAATTTTAATAAAATTATTGTAATATTTTGAAAAATAAAACAAAATTGGCGTTGTTCGTTTCATGCAGAATGCCCCATATTATAATTTAATTAAAATACAAATTGATAATAGAAAATGATTTATTATTAACTATTTCTCATACTAAGAAATTAATTTTTAAAATTCTGTAGTAATTACTGTATACCTAAGTTTTTTTTTAAATTTAGAATTTATTAATATATGATTTACATTCCTATTTCAGCACATATTTTTTCCTAAACATCAAAACAGTATTGTCAATTAACATTTGAAGCGTATTTATTAAAATTTTTCTACCAAAAGTTTCCTTTAATTTTATGACTTAAAAGCACATATTATAAAAGAAATTAAAATAAAAAAAAAAAAAAAAAAATAATTTAACATATAAGTAGAAAATGTGTTGATGAAGATAATTTTTTATTTCAGAATGCCAGTGGGAATGAAGGTAATTATATTCATTTAACTTTATATACTTGTAGTATATTTAATCGTATAAATTCATTCTATTATTATTCTCTCTAATATAATAATTCGTAGCAGTAGTAGAGTCGTATAGCTAGGAAACCTTTTATCATGACCTAGAAAAGCCTATATAGATAAAAGGATCAATTAAATGAAAGAAAATATCATTTAAAAATAGAGGAGAGTTAAGAAAAGAAAATTAGAGTTGCCTTAGATTTTTTGCTAAAAATAATATTAATAAAAATAAAAGATATAGTTAGTTACTTCCGAAAACAATTTTTATCTCCGTTTTCTTTTAAATTACATATTGACCTCAATTTTAACATTTTTATGAAAACTAAAACACCAAGAAAAATGTGATATTAAATCAAACTTTTTTTTTTTTTTGAAAAAAAAGTATCATTTAGTTCAAAAGTTTGTACTCCAGTTAGAAAAGTTCTGTATAGAATTTTACTAGATTCTACTTTATTTACTTTCTCTTTCAAATAAAAAGGATTAGAGTATCCATTTACAAAAATCCTAACCTAACTTTAGGTTAATAATTATTAACCTAATTTTCTATAATCGTCTTACTGCGTTTCCGTTTCCAGTTCCTTTTGCCCATTACTGACTTTTCAATTATAGAAGTTCAACCCATCAATATAATCTTGAACTAAAAAGTAGTTTTTAACAGAACTAAAAATATATTTAAAATTTATTTTACCTAAATTCGGAAGATCCAGTTGTACAATTAAAAAAAATTATTTTGAGTTAAGTTAATTATCGCCCTATAAAAACGGTACTGAATGTGAACATGGTAAATATTGATTTTAAAATACCTTTTTCTCAAAACTCTTTTCACTTTTTATCTGCCAAAATACCAAGGATTCTTATTTTATAAATTTCCTAAATCCGAAAGATGCGAATCCATACAAAAACGCGATTGAAAAACGAAAGTAATATAATAGCAACTGCGACTTTGTGCTCCCTGCATGCTTCTGCCATCTGACGGCGGCAGGGCGTAATGAACCTGTCATTATACTACTTTTCGTTTTGCAATCGTGTTTTTGTATGGATTCGCACAATTTTTTGGATTTAGGAAATTTCTAAAATAAGGATCCTTGATGTTTTGGCCGATATTCGCTGATTACGAATCTGATATTATGAGATTTCACAAAATTTATAAAGAAATATCGGAGCATTTAAATTGTTTTTTTGGAAGTATTATTCAAAAGAATGTAAATTAATTAATTAAAGAATGCATGATGTATACAGGCAGTAGATTGAAGGGCAACGAAACCTTAGGCGGCTGGAACAACCGTGCCCGTGGCTTCTGCAATCGAGTTCTCAATGCAATATTTCCATGCTTCACCAACAATGGTAATAAATCTGACTGATAACGTCCTCTATATATTTATATATAGCGATTTCGCTGCTACTGTCGAAAAAAAAAACAAAACAAAAAAAAAACAAGGATCCTCTCGCTTTTAACACTTTCTTTCATCTCGTCATCTCACAAAGTCAGCATCGAAGGGATTTCACGCACGTCATTTTCTCTCTAATTCATCGATTAAAACCTCATCAACCTGTCGACCTCACTCTTTTTTAGTCAGCGACGTTTTAATTATCGCTTCATTGAATTTCATTCACTTCAACATATATAAGAAATCTTGGCTTTTTTTTATTAGCCACTTTATTCTTCTTTTAAATTTCATTTTACTTATAAATTCTTAAATTGTTTTTCATTCAACACTTTTGTTTATAAATTATTTTGTTTTTTATTTTCATTCATGATATTATTATTCTTTTAATTTATCGAATGGGGATCGGAATTTTTCAAACTTATCAACTAAAATTTTTTGTTTACGCATAAATAAGCACTAAATTTAATTTGTTAGAATTTACTCGCTTTTAGCCGAATTATTATTTCTTTGAATTGTTATTTAACAGAAATTCCATTTAACCGAATTTTTGTATTAAAGTATTATTATTTAAACGAATTAACATTAGAATTTTTTTAGCTGAATTTTCACTTGTTCGAATATAAATTTTACAAAATTCTTAAAAAACCGATTTTCCATTTGTCCAAAATTGCAAATGAACGACAAGCAATCGACAGGAAGATTTGGGCGCGAATTTTAAAATTAACTAATCATAATTTTTTTAAAAAACTAAAGATAATTAATTTTTCCAAAGTTTTAAATTTCTTCTAATGATATGATTAACATTTTTGTTTCTTCAATTTCCTCCTAAATATGTTAGTCAGATTTTAAAAATTCAAAATAGCGTATCCACTATGTCGGATGAATTTTTAAAAAACAATTAGATTTGTTTGTTTTAAGTCTGTAAGTTGATTACAGTATAGAAGTAAAAAAATCATTAAAAATGAAAAAATTAAATTTGTTAATTTTATGTGATTCTTATACAAGAAATTCTGATTCATACTGTTAATTAAAACATTTTCCAAGAGATTTAATTTTAATTAATTAATTTTAAGTAATTAATTTTATTTGACTTAGAAAAAACTTTTAATTGTATTGTGTAATATTTTATTTCGCGCGTTTAAAGTAATTTTATGTTATTATTCATTCCTTCTTATTTTTTTATTTCACTGTTCGCGGTTTTATTTAGTCATATTTTTTTTAATGATCTTTGCTTTTTACAATCGATTTCCCGCTAGTCTTTATTTCACTTTATCAGATGTTACAACATTATTGCTATCCAGTTATAGTATAGTAGTAAATGTATTAGTAGAAAATTTAACGAATAGTTAAATTTTTTATTTGTTAATATGAGTAATTTGTTTATATATATATATATATATATATATATATTATTTAGTTATTACTTCTTTACCTAGTATAGTACAGAAAATAATTTTTAAGTTTAGTTATTTTTTCTATTTTTGTAATAACCTATTTTTTTATATAGTAAATTTAATTTATTTAAAATACTTTAGTTAAATTAAATTTATAATTGAAGTTGAATAATTTAATTAAGTTCGATAATTTCTCATAATTAGAAAATTCAAAGAATAATTAATTTTAAATAAATGTAAATTAAATTTAATTAAAGAATTTCTATTTTATAATATGTGCCAAATACAAACAAGCGTCTCTGACTGAAGCTCAAATTTTTAAATCACAAAGCTACGACGAATGTTTTTTGATTCACTATATAAGCATGAATCATTATACTCATTACAATATTTAACACTGAATTTCATGAAAAGAAAACGATTTGAATCTATTTCAAATTTTTTACGCACATAAAATTAAATCATTTTTTTGTAATAAATATTTAATGCAGTATCTTCACTCTAATACAGGGAACAAATTAATATTTATAAAGGCCGTTTTCAGCGCGTGGATAAAAATTTAACCTTCCGGGAAGTTAAAGGCAGTAGATATATTCTACGTCTGCGCAGAAGCAAACATTCTGCGCAGACGCAGAATATATCTACTGCCTTTAACCTCTCGGAGGATTAAATTTATCCACACGATGAAAACTGGCTCTATATAGTATAAGTAATTTAAGGGCATAATTACACAGCCACACAAAAAAAAAAAGTACCCGGGCCGGGGAATGAGACCACCATTTCTTGATGTATTTTGATGCGCTGAACACGAATCTGAAGTCCGTTTAGCTCCATCACGTCAGGATTTTGACATAACCTCAAAAAACATAGCTGATTTTAAATGACAGGAGAAATTTTTTAAATAATGTCAGATTTGCTTGTATCTTGTTACTCGGGGGTTTTTGGGGTCGCTGATTACGAATTTAACGTCAGATTTATAAAATTCAAAATGGCGGATTCAATATGGCGGACAAATGTTTAAAAAGTAGTTGGATTTTTACGAAAATTGGTATCTAGGGGTTTTGGGAGTCGCTGATTACAAATTTATCGTCAGATTATTCAAATTCAAAATGGCGGATCCAATATGGCGGACAAATTTTTAAAAAGAAGTTGGATTTTTACAAAAATTGGTATCATGGGGTTTTTTTGGAGTCGCTGATTACGAATTTAACGTCAGATTATTCAAATGTAAAATGGCAGATATAGTACGGTGGTCAAATATCTTTATGTTTCTACATGTGTCTGCATCCAGGGCACCTCCACGCGGTGACGGTGGGCAACGGAGTTTGTCCGCTATCCGGCTAAGTCCCTGGATAATGGCTTTGATGCCGTCATGGCAGACACACGTAGGAAACGTATTACGATGCAGGGACTCGGAACCCCAGTATCGGCCAAGTTACATAAAAATTCAACTATTTTTTAAAAACTCGTCCGCCATATTGGATCCGCCATTTTGAATTTGAATAATCTGACGATAAATTTGTAATCAGCGACTCCCAAAACCCCTAGATACCAATTTTCGTAAAAATCCAACTACTTTTTAAACATTTGTCCGCCATATTGAATCCGCCATTTTGAATTTTATAAATCTGACGTTAAATTCGTAATCAGCGACCCCAAAAACCCCCGAGTAACAAGATACAAGCAAATCTGACATTATTTAAAAAATTTCTCCTATCATTTAAAATCAGCTATGTTTTTTGAGGTTATGTCAAAATCCTGACGTGATGGAGCTAAACGGACTTCAGATTCGTGTTCAGCGCATCAAAATACATCAAGAAATGGTGGTCTCATTCCCCGGCCCGGGTACTTTTTTTTTTTTGTGTGGCTGTGTTATGATATGAAAATTGTGGTATTTACAAAAACAAAAAAAATTTAGTGATTAAAAAAAATTACTCCTGTTAAAAACCACCAAAATACAATGAAAGTCATTATAAATAATTTTGTTAAAACCCGATAAGTAATTATATAATATATAATATATGTATAGGTACATTTACGAATGTTATAAAAAGTATTTTCCAAAAATTTTATCCTAGTGTTGACCCTATATGACAAAATAATAATTAAACACTTTTAGGCAATGAAATTAATTGAATAATCGATTTTCATCTACAATGACTTTTATATACATATATATATACATTCATATGCAAAAAAAAAAATGTATTTCATTTTTTCCATTAGTCAAAAGATGATAAATTTTGGACCAAATGCTTCGAATCTATTTTTTTTATCTTAAAACTTAAGTATAAATATTTTTATGTAAAACCATTATTCAATAAATAATGAGTCTGATATAATAATCTTTAATGTACAATATATGATACTTTACAGTATAATAATAATTTCTATATAAATATAGTAATTTAATAATTGCTACAAAATAGCAATTTCTATACAAATAGTAATAAATTTTATATTAATTGAAAAATAGTATATTTGATTGAAATAATCCGTTACTGGAATATTATCAAATTAATATATTTATTTTAAATAATTATTATATGAGTTAATTAAATTGTATTTGCTTCAAGTTTATTTAATTCAAATAAAAATTATTTGTTTCAAGTAAATATTTATTTAATAATAGTCAAATAACGGATTATTAATCAAATAAACTTTATTTCAGTGTATAATAATTTTTATTAAGAGTAATGAACGGACCTCGAAATTCTTTAGCAAAGAGATACATTTAATTATCACCCTATAAAAACGGCACTGAACGTGAAAATAATAACAATTGGTTTTAAAATACTTTTTTTTCGAAACACAAACACTTTTTATAAAATCGGCCAACATACCAAAGATTCTTGTTTTATAAATTTCAAAAATCAAAAAGATTGAGTGAATGTATGCAAAAACGCATCTGCAAAACGAAAAATAGGAAAGTAATTTAATGACAATTGTGACATTCTGCTCCCTGCATGCTTCTGCCATCTGACGGCGACTGGACGTAATGAACCTCTCATTAAACTACTTTTCGTCTTGCGATCGCGTTTTTCTATGGATTCGCACAATCTTTCGGATTTAGGAAATTTATAAGATAAGAATCCTTGATGTTTTGGCCGATTTTGTAAAAAGTGTCCATGTTACAAGAAAAAATTATTTTAAAATCATTGTTTATCATTTTTACCTTCAGTGCCGTTTTTATAGGGTGATAATTAAAGGTCTCTCCTTGCCAAAGAATTTCAGAGATCGTTCGACACTTTTAAATCATGTAAAGTAAAAAAAAAATTTGTAATGAACAATCCAGAAAATTAAAAAAAAAATTATTTTAGCTCTTAGTTGTTAAAAAAATTGAAAAAATATTTTTAAATACAAAACTGCATTAAAGTAATATTAATATTAATATAATTTGTATAATATAATTATATAGTTTTATAAAAATACATTATTATTTTTTTTCGTTATTAAGTTTCTTTTTGTCATTATAATAAGGAAATAGATGTTTCTCCCGGAAATTGTTACGTCAATTTATAATACAAAAAAACATTATTTATTGTCATCAGTGTGCGCTATCGCATGTTTATACATCAAGAAATTCATATAAAATTTGTTTAATAAAAATAAAAAAAAATATTAATTGCATAAACAATTCATGTTGAACATGATATATTAGTTATAAACATATGTAGACTAGAAAGTCAATTTATCTACCTCATCCACAAATCACCGCATATGCATGTTAGTGAAACAGAGTTCATCGGAAAATAGAAAAAGAAAATTTGAAAAACTAATCAATTTATGGTGTGCTTTGCTATAGTTAAAATATCGATTTGCCATAAATCACATAAGAATCTCTTTAAAAATAGAATATAAATAAATTTTAAATTTTAATTTATTTTCAATTTTTAACAGAATTTCGAAACAAAACAATTTTTTTTTTTGAAAATAATAAACACCCTTTGTGTCAAGATTCTAAATATTTTATAATTCTTTTGTAAATAAATTTTTTAAAAGAAATTTTATTTTTACAATTTAGAATTTTTATAATAACAGTACTTTTTTTAAATATATGATAAAGTCTTTAAGTATAAAAATTTTGGATGTTCAAAATTATCTAGACTTCAATTTTTTATATGAATTTTATGAGGCTAAATTGACAATATATTTTTTGTTGATTAACGAAAAAATATTTAAATAAACTAATTATCACGTATGTACGACAAAGAAACAAAAAAACTAATTGTAAAATCTGTCATTTTTCAAAATTCAAAATGGCGAATCCAACATGGCAGACAGAAATTCCAATTCACTGAATTTCAATTTATACGATTTTTTTTGATAATTGAATTGATAGAATTTTTAAGACGCCGAATTTTGATTTGTCCGAAATTACAAGTGGCCGAACAAACAATCGACAGAATGATTTCGGCGCAATTTTCAAAAATTGACCAATTAGAAATTATCAAGAAAATCGTGATTGGTCAATTTTAAAAATTGCGCCGAAATCATTCTTTTCGATTGTTTATTCGGTCATTTGTAATTTCGGACAAATGAAAATTTGGCGTCTTAAAAATTCTATCAATTAAAAATTCGAACAAATTAAAATTTGATGAATTGGAATTTCTGTCATTTAAAAAATTCGATTGAATAAGAATTCTGTTTAATTAAAATTTGCTTAAATTAAAATTCTTTTAAATGAAAAGTCATGTCAAAAAAAATTACTGTAAAATAAAAATTCGGTAGCTCAAAATTTTGTTATGTAAAAATTCGTATAAAAAGAAAATCTGTCAAATTATCCGAAAATTGAATATTCATAAACGATAAATATTGTCACTTTTGGCTCATTTTACATCATTTTGTTTAAATAAAAAGAATTTGCATAATAAAAAATAAAAATCTGAACCAATGACTTTTTTTGAGGAATTTTACGTAAAAGATTAAAAAAAATAAAATCCATAAAAAATTGAACTGCACTACTTCCTTTTTCACAAAATAACCATTATATAGAAAAAAGCTTCTTCACATATATATATATATATATATATATATATATATATTGAATAGAAAATAGATGAATTGAAAAATCATTCATATGCATCAGCAATTTCATTCGCGTGTTAAAAAAAAGGCAAAGTCTGGCATGCGAAGATATAATGTTAGATTTTGGACGTGGGATATATTGGATTTATTCTTTCTATAGAACTATTCGCCTGGACGCCATACCGGTATCGTTTCTCGAGACCTTAGCCGTTCACAAACTTCCGGAAGTTCCGTTCAGACGGAATGAACACCTAACACTATGATCAGTATAGGGTGAGTTCACATAATTAGAATATACGATTGCAAAACACACAATTTCACAAATATATAATTTTTATTAAGTATTTTCTTTTTCTTTATAAATTAAAATAATAGTATACCATTATTCTTTGAAAGGAAAAAATTTGCAAAATTATTTATTTCAATTTTATTTATAATTGAGGAACTGCGTCAAAGAAATCGCTTTTCGCTCCACTGCACGCTCTCAAGCCAGTCAAACGGAGCAAAAAGTCAAGAAAATTGAATATGAAAATTTAAATTTTTGAAAAGTAATAATTTGAATTTTTTTTCTACCTCCACTTTTCTCAAAATTCTGACGTTTTAGGCAATTTTGGGACCCGGAATTGTATTTAGCGGACAAATGTACATTAAAAATCACTCCGATATCAAAAATTAATCAAAAAATTTTTTTTTCTGCCTCTACCCCCACTTTTTTCAAAATGCTCTATTTTTTTGGATTTGCGCATATTTTTTTGAGTCAATTATTGAAATGGTAAGTGATTTTCAATGTACTATTTTACGCTGAACACGATCATGTGTCCCAAAATTGCCTAGAATGTCAAAATTTTGAGAAAAGTGAGGGTAAATAAAAAAAAAAATTTTAAAAACCCCCAAAAATATGTTTTTTGAGTATTTAACCCCTATTTTCTCTAAATCTTGAAATACATTTTAATTTTTGCTTTAGTTATACACGAAATTGGATTAAAAAATTAAAATGCGCCCTTTTTGCTCCATAGTTTTATGAAAAATAGGGACGCATGACAGGGTGTCTAACAAGGATTGAGAAAAAAATTCCCTGACTTTTCCATGACTCCTCCCTGACATTTTTTTATTTTTCCTGACTTTTTAATAACCTTATTTCTGCTTTTTTTTGGACAAAAATATGGTTACTGACGTATTTAACAATAAATTAATTTCTAATAGTAGTAACAAATGGTGATAAAAACCATTCAAGTTTTTTTAGATTAAAAAATTTTTAAATTCACAAAAAATTTTAATTTTTGTAGAAATTTACAGAAATTTCCCTGACATTGAATGAAATTTTCTGAAATTCACTGACTTTTCCCTGACATTTTCCTGACCAACAAAATTCCCTGACGTTTCCCTGACTTTCCCTGACCGTTAGACACCTTGCATGAATATGTTCTAAAAATCATTAGTAGAATTGTCATTTTATGGAATTTTTATTTGTCATAATTATTTTTGAGCCGAATTTTTATTTGTTCGAATGAGTATTTTGCAGAATTTTTATATAACCGAAAATAATAATTTCTTTCAGATGAATTTTTATTTGTTCAAATTATTATTTAATATAATTTCCATATAACCGATTTTTCATACTACAGAATTTTTACTTAACCGAAAAATCATTTAACAGAATTTCTAATTGATAGAATTTTTATTTGTCCGAAATTGCAAATGTCCGAACAAACAATCGACAGAAAAAATTTCGGCGCGATTTTGAAAATCAACCAATCACAATTTTATGGATAATTTTTGATTGGTTAATTTTAAAAATCGCGCCGAAATCCTTCTGTTGATTGTTTGTTCGGCCATTTGTAATTTCGGACAAATAAAAATTCTATCAATTAGAAATTCTGTTAAATAATTTTTTGGTTAATTAAATTCTGTAGTATAAAAATCGGTTATATGGAAATTACATTAAATAATAATTCGAACAAATGAAAATTCATCTGAAAGAATAAAATGAAAATTTTATGCAATGAAATTCTACCCAATAAAAATTCTTTAAAATGCCTATTATGTTAAATGAAAATTCAAGCAAATAAAAATTATGATAAATAAAAATCCGAACAAATTATGTGAAATGAATTTTCGGTTATATAAAAATTCTGTAATATAGAAAATCGGTTTGATGAAAATTCTGCAAAATATTAATTCGAACAAATAAAAAAAATTCGGCTCAAAAATAATTATGACAAATGAAATTCCATAAAATGAAAATTCTAACTAATGATTTTTAAAACATATTCATGCGTCCGGATAAATGAAGCAAAAATTTAAATTGCTCCGTTTTCGTAAAAATCGTATTTATTATTAATATTAACAATATTCGTGTTTTTCAACGCAGCTTCTCAATTATATAGAAAATTAATTCTTTACACATTTTTTAGTGATTTGAACCATATATATTTTTCTTTAACTCACAAAACATTCTCTGCGAAAAAAAAACTTCTTCTTTTATCATGACAATGTTTTTTTCTTTCTTTATGTTAATGAAGTTTAAAAGAAAACTTTTTCCCTCTGTATTTATAAAACAAGATTGCATTTCAGAACATTTTGTTTAATCACTGTAACTATGGAGGAGAAACTTTTTTGACTTTTAAATTCCTCTTAATTTCACTTTATTTAATGCGAATATTCAAATTTAAGAAACAATTAATAAAATCAAATTCAAATGACTTAACTTAAAAGCATGAAAAGTTAATTTTAAACAAGAAAATGTACTCCCGGGGTCAGTAACATTATATGTCTGAGAAGTTAAATCAATAATTTTTACAAGACAGTATTGGTGAATGTGTGTGTGTGTATAATATAACTCTTAATTTTTCTTGGTATTTTTATATTTTAATTTAAACTTTAATATTTACTTTTAGTACGTGTTTCAATTTATATGTAAAATTCCCACCGTACAGCTTTATATTTCAAACTCAACTTTAATAAAACTTTAAAAAATATATAGGTATATATATATATATATAGCTTGTCATCAGAAACGTTCATTCATGTGGTTTAAAAAAAATATTTTCATCAAACATTTAATCTAAAAATTTATAGAATATTGAATAGGCAAAAATTGAATGTTTGATATAAAAAAAATATTGCATAAAATATACTATATGCCAAAAATAAAACATAATGTTTAGTAAAACATTTCATTTTTCAATAATCAAAACTTCTAAATGTTTCATAAAAAAACTATTTGTAAATTTATAATTTTTTCTTTGTTTTTATAATTAATTTATTTTACAAAACGGACGTATGATTATTCTATAAATGTCATTAGTTATAATTTTTATTTTTTTAAATTTTTATCAGACGAATTATCATTCTTCGAATTAGCATTTGACAAAATTACTTTTTTCTTTTTAAATATTTTTTTACTTAACCCCTTCGCAGTCTAGTAGAAAAATCGTTTTTGTGGGCCCAAAACGGTCAAAAAAAAAATTTCCAAAAAAATAACATATCATCGTATTAATAGTTTTTGGGATCGCTGAATCCAAATTTAAGGTCAGATTTAAAAAATTCAAAATGGCGGACCCAAGATGGTGAAAATTTTTTTAAGTTGATTCGATTCGTTCAAAATTTGGTACTCGGCGGTTTTTGGGGTCGCTGAATCCAAATTTGATATCAGATTTTAAAAATTCAAAATGGCGGACTCAATATGGCCACCCAATATAGCGAAAAAACTTTAAAATTGATTCGATTCGTTCAAAATTTGGTACTTGAAGGTTTTTTGGGTTGCTGAATCCAAATATGATCTCAAATTTGGATTCAGCGACCCCAAAAACCCCCGAGTACCGAATTTTGAACGAATCGAATCAAATTTAAATTTTTTCCGCCATATTGGATCCGCCATTTTGAATTTTTTAAATCTGACCTCAAATTCGGATTCAGCGACTTTTTTTGGACATATATGGGCCATCGACTGTCAAGGGGTTAACAGAAATTATAGGTGCTAAATTATTATTAAACGGTAGAAATTCTATTTTACATATAATTTCTCTTTGCTCAAAATTTTTATTCAAAAGAATTTTAATTTTGGCCAAATTTTAATTTAGTAGAATTTTTATTTAACAGAATTTTAAGTGATTTGAATTTTTTTTATATATATGTATATATATAAAATTTTCCAATTTACAGAATCTTCATTTGTTGGAATTTTTATTTACGCACTTAAGGCCAGGTCCAAGTCGTGTCAGCTGTTCCATTGAAACTTTAAAGGAACAGCTGACTCGACTTGGACCTGGCCTTAATTTCATTTATCATTTTCAATTTGACAGAATTCTTAAAACGACACGAATTTCCATTTGTACAAAAATTGCAAATGGCAGAAGGAACATAACCTAAAAAAAAGATTTCGATGAATTTTAAAACATTAACCAATGATAAATAATAAAGAAAATTGTTATTGGACAATTTTAAAATTCGCGCCGAAATCTTTTTGTAGGTTATGTTTATTCGGACATTTGCGATTTCGGTCAAACTAAAATTCGGAATTTAAAAAATTTCCATTCAAGAACAATTCGGACAAAGAAAAATCCGAACAAATAAGTAATTCGGTAAATTGGAAATTCTTTTATTTAAAAATTCAAATCACTTAGAATTCTGTTTAATAAAAATTCCTGCTCTCGATTTACTGAGTTTAATTAGTTAATTTATTTAAATTCAAAATGGTGGACATTTTTGAAATTCGTTCAAAATGCTTTGAAAATTTGTTTCAAGAAAAATCTATAATAAAGTTTTTTAAAATAAAAATTTTAATTATAATGACTTTTATGAATTAATCATTCGCCCCTACAAAAAAAAATATGTATAAAATTTTTTAAATACAATTTCATTAAAATTTGTCGAATAAAAAAGAAATTTAATTTTAAAAAAAAATGTAATTCAGGGGCAACGAAGATTCGATGTTGACTGTTAGGCAAGTGGATGACTCAATATTCATTGTCATGGGAGAAAACATCTAATTTATTCGGTGCAACTGGCAATTAAGATCGCAAAAAGATTACAACGTCAATTTGATCGAGCTATTTTTGGAAAGAAGTATAATAAACAGTATATTATAATACATAAAAGCTCGGTTCCCGCAGGTGGTTTTCGCAAATAAATGAATGTCAACGGGTTCCCACAAAAAAAAGTGTTAAAACTATATAATAAGCCATTTGCGTGTTCGTTTAACAAAACAAAAAACATATAGGTATATAAATAAATAAATAAATGTATAAAAAAAACGTAGACGAAAATCAAGACAAAAAAAAATTAACATTAAGTCCGTAGGACGTTTCCATACGCTCCAAATGTCACTGTGATTAAAAAAAGAAAATATATTGTAACAAAAAAAAATTCTTTCAACGATCAAGAATTTCGATTCTGCTGGTACGGAATCTTTTTTTTATGTATAAAAAAAAATAATAATGTATATTAAACACACGGTATTTCTAATTTTTATTCGACGAGCATATATAACAGATTTTTTATGACAGAGGAAGACATAATAAATTTCCTAATAATATATATATAATATGAGAAAAGTTAATATTCCTAAAATTACATGATGTAAATAATTGAAAGAAAAATTATTATATAGAATGTATTCCACGCCAAAGTGTAAGTCCATCTGCAATGACATCTTCGATTTTTTTTTCTTATAAGGGGCCGTGTACAAATTACGTAAGGGCCACAGGGGGGGAGGGGGTGTATGAAATCCTTACGGACTCTTACGTGGGGGGAGGGTAGGTGCGAAGATTTTCTTACGTAAGGCCATATATTAAAAAATTTCTTGAAACTTGCGGGCAGTTCTGCCGGTAAACTTCTACAATAATATATGATCTAATAATGTTGAAAAATGTATTTTGTTCTCTACAGTAATGACTGTTTAACTATGTTAACTTTGTTTTAAATATAATTAAAAAAATTTATTAACATTAAGAATAAAACGTGTAATACATAACTTTAATTTTTGACCTATATTTTCTTTAAACCTTACGTAAGAAAGGGGGGAAGAGGCTAACAAAATCTTACTTAACCTTACATGGGGGGAGGGGGGTTTAAAATGTTTAAAATTGACCTTACGTAATTTGTACACGGCCCCTAAAACTAATTGAGACTAGCTTCCATGAATCTTTCTTTAAATTTTTTTAGCAAGTCGTTTTCGAATTGTAGAATTTTGAAAATTGGAGAATTTTCATAACTTTTAATTTTTGAATGCTCATAACTTCCTTAAAAATGCATCAATTTTAAAAGTCTTTTTTTTCAAAATGTGTGTTTTTAAACGTACTTTTCAACAAAAAAAATCGAAATTTTTTTTCAAACGATATTACTATCAAATTTTTGAGTTTTAATGATAAAAAGTCATTTTTCTCATTTGACGTACTGATCGATTTTTTTCAAAATTTTTTCAAAAAAACTAGGTACTTCTTATTACGAAACTTTTAAGCGTAGGCCGATAATGGGCAAACAATTTTTACAATATTTTCGGAATTTTTCAAAAATTTTTGAATTTTGATTTTTTTAAAAATATTTTTGGTTTTTTTTATACTACGTACTTTTATGTATTTTGATACTAATATCGTTTGAAAAAAAATTTCGATTTTTTTGTTGAAAAGTACGTTTAAAAACACACATTTTGAAAAAAAAAATACTTTTAAAATTGATGCATTTTTAAGGAAGTTATGAGCATTCAAAAATTAAAAGTCATGAAAATTCTCCAATTTTAAAAATTCTATAATTCGAAAACGACTTGCTAAAAAAATTTAAAGAAAGATTCATGGATGCCAGTCTCAATTAGTACTAAAAGAAAAAAAATCTCAATAAAATCGGAGATGCAATTGCTAGATGGACCTACACTTTGGCGTGGAATACATCATAGGTTAAAAATAATTAAAAAAATTATTTACTTTTTTTTTGATAATACAATGAATCCTCGATAGATGATCAGTTTAATGAAAATAAAAAAATTTACGCAAAAAATTATTACGAGCTTATGGATTTTTAATAACCCTTTGACATAACCTGAAAGTAAAAAGTTTTTTTTTAATAACAAATAAAAATATAATTAAAATTGATTTCGTCAAATTTTAGAAATTTTACTTGTACAATTTAAAAAAAAAATTTATTTTAAGTTAAAATTTGTTGTTAAATAATTATTTATTAACTTTTTGTATTTTTTTTTTTGTTTAAAGTTAGTAAACAATTTGTAAAATTGTTATTCAAGTTTTACAAAAAAATAGCTCATTTTTAAATTCTACAAATATGGATTCTTTAAAATTTAGTAAAATTAGTTTTAATTATAGTTTTATTTGGTGATAAAATCAATTTTTAGTTTGAGGTTATGTCAACAGGTAGAACTAGGCATTTTACCTTGTGACGTCAGTGGCTGATGACGTCGAAGCCTGGAGGGACAACAAACGAAAAAAACAATAAAGAACTGTCAAACAAGTGATTTTGAGGTTATGTTTTTGAAGTTTTCAACGTTACCAACTGTAGATGGACTATAGTAAAATTATTTGTTGTCCCTCCAGGCTTCCAGCTGATCGGGCAGCCATATTTGAAAGTGAAATACCTAACTGCCTTAAATTTTTATTAACCAATCAGCAAGAATGGCGCGTAATTTAAAATGTCAAATATAATAAAAATTATTGCTTTTACAATTGTTACAATTTACTTTTACAGGATGTCTAACAAGGATTGAGAAAAAAATTCCCTAACTTTTCCCTGACTCCTCCCTGACATTTTTTTGATTTTTCCCTGACTTTTTAATAACCTTATTTCTGCTTTCTTTGGACAAAATTATGGTTACCGACATATTCAACAATAAATTAATTTCTAATGGTAGTAACAAATGGTAATAAAAACCATTCAAGTTTTTTTAAATTAAAAAATTTTTAAATTCACAAAAAATTTTAATCTTTGGAGAAATTTACAGAAATTTCCCTGACTTTGAATGAAATTTTCTGAAATTCCCTGATTTTCTCTGACCGTTAGACACCCTGTTTTAAAATTGGTTCGACAATTATTTTTTTGGAATTGGATTTTTGAAAGATTTAGAAATATAAGGATAAAAAGAAAATGTATTTAAGAAAATAAATACAGAAAATTTTAATTGAGACACTTTTTTTATTGTTGAATTTTAGACCTAATAATGCAAAAAAAATGAACAATCGTCCTTGATTAATTGTCTGTGATTTTTTAAGCAGAAGATATTTAACATTTGAAAATGCGCGCCATTGGTTATGATATTAGCGGCGAAAAATCGGCGCATGCGCGTAAAAGCAGCACTATACACAACAGCGAGACATCACTTATCGAGGTTCAACTGTACATATCTAAAAATAATCATTTAAATTTTGTATAGAAAAACTATAAAATTAAAAATTCTATCTTTACCTCAAAAAATCTCATCATTCAATTAAATTATTTTTAATTAATAAAACATTCAATTCATTTTAATTTTATACCAAATATTAATAAAATTTTAAATATATATATATGTTGATATTCGAGATACGAAAATCTCATCACTAATTCTAAAAGCGTATAGAAAAGGGTATACATTATATTATAACAATAAAAAAAAACAATTTTGCAATATATTCTGTGGAAAAAAAAATAAAAACAAATTATATTGCTTACACACTGAAAAAGGTACGTCGCCTTTATATATATGACGTGTGAGAAAGGATTACTGTGGAAATATTGATTAATAAATGGAGCTTTTAAGGACCAGACGCGCATAGACTATATATATATATAGGTATACATAAAACATCTCCTCATGTGGGGTGCATTTTTCAAATACATTAAAATCATATGTCATAGTCAGCTGATGAAAAAGGTTTTACAATTACCGAACATATGCGTATATATCTAATAATGAGAGTTTTCTTTTTACAAATCGTATATATGTAGTTGAAAGAAAATCAATAATTCCGGTATTTCAAGCTTTAGTCACGAATGTAGGTACATTGTTACTGCGGCTCTCTTATGCTGTCCTATTTTCGTGATTTACGCTATACTCGCGAGTAATTTCATTCTAATTTGCATAAATATATATATATATATGTCACACTCTACTCTGATCTCCGTATAAAGCGACTGACCGATAAACTCATTTTATCAAATTATATTCTGAACACTCAAAACCAACTAATTATTATCACAGTGTTAATTATAATTATAACACTCTGAAATTCATTATTTTATATCTATTTAGGTAATTTTTAAACGGATTTTTAAATTTTTTTTTTAAACTTTTCTATACAAAAAATTAAAGCAGGGTCTGTATTCATTACACGAACGGAGAATTTTGATCGACGTCTTTTTTAATTAAATAAAATATATTTTATAAAATTTTTATTTTGTAAACACACTAAAAAAAATTTATTTAATTCAAATACTTTATTACTTGATTATTATCAAATAAATATTTACTTGAACCAAATAATTTTTATTTGAATTAAATAAATTGTATTTGAACCAATAATTTTTGTATTTGAAACAAATATCATTTAATTGACTTAAATTATAATTATTAGATACAAATAAATATTTATTTTGATAATAGTCAAGTAACCGATTATTTAAATCAAATAAATTTTTTTTTCAGTGCATAAAATTAGAATAAACTGACAATAATTTCCAAATAAATTAAAAAAATTTTCAAAACGAAATACCACAGTATTGACAATTGCTGAAATTTTTGCACCGGATTAACATCAAGTTAGACCTCGGAGTAAGACGTTGTCACGTCAAAAAAATACAACTAAATTTTTTGTAATAAAATTTTTCCAAATGAATTAAAATATTTACCTTAATAACGAATTTCCATCTTTAAGGAGATTCTTTCTAAATAGCCCTCGGAGATCCCTACTTTCAAGTTAAATTTCCATTCCGAAAATGTGAAAAATAACCGTAAAAATAGACCGAGTTCTAAAAAGTCTGAATATAAAGAATTCGGTGTCCTTTAAGATACCCTTTTTTACTTTTGTCCTTATCTTTGAAGTACGTGACACCACAAGCCATCGAGGATAGAATCTGCAAAAAGAAAAATTAAAATACTGTCAGCGTTATACTAACATATAAATCTTTAACCGGTCGGTAATATAGAAAACTATAAAAAATTTCATTTCCAAATTTGACAAAAATAAGTGTGGCATCGAGATTAAAACTAAAATAATCGAATAATACAAAAAATCATGAAAATATGACTTATACTTTTCGAGAACTTGGCGTCGAGTTCTTTCTTTCATTTAAAAGAATTTTATTAAATTTAATTATTTTTTAGACGAATTATCATTTTTCGAATTAGAATTTGACAGAATTTCTTTTTGAAACGAATTTTTATTTAACAAATTTTTTATATACCGAAATTTTATTTAGCAAAATTCTTAAAAATGACGAATTTTTCGAAATTGCAAACATCCGAAGAAACAAGTAACAAAAAAATTTTAGCATGATTTTTAAAATTGACACAATCAGAAATTGTAAAGAAAATCGTGATTGGTGAATTTAAAAAGTCCAACCGAAATCTTTCTGTCGATTATTATTTTTTCGGTCATTTGCAATTTCGGACAAATAAAAATTCGGCGTCTTAAAAATTCGGACAAATTAAAATTCGGTGAATTGGAAATTTCTGTCATTTTAAAATTCGATTGAATAAGAATTATGTTAAATTAAAATTCTTTTAAATAAAAATTTATAAATTTTTGTAAATTAAATTTCTTTTTAAGAAATTTTTATAAATATATCATCAAAATGAAATTTCACTCGACAAAGTATTAACTTTAACATCAAAATTTATATCATTTATAAACCTTTTCTCTAAAATTTCTATATTGAAATAAATTAAAAATTCATGTAGGTGGATTTATTTATATAAAATGACTCCTGGCACTTTATCATAAAAATAGAATACAAACCCTCCCTATATGTAAAGTTCAGAAAATATCTCTTTTAAATTTCAAATCAAAAACCACTAAACCTTGACATTTAAAAAGTCTTTGATTTGCAAATTTACTTCAAATATATCCACAAAACAATTTTTTAAAGTATAAAATAAAAATTTTATATTATAAAAAATATCTCATCAAAGAAGTAATAAATTCTAAAGATTTCCCCAATTTACTATAATAATAATCATTTATAAAAAAAAAATAATAATAATTGAAAACTCTCATTTTAGATTAATTGCTTGAAACAAAAACTAGAAATTAAAAAACAATAATTCAACACAACAGTGCGCGTACAAATATATAACTCTCATTTGATAAAAACTTATAATTCAATGTATACAATAAAATATTGAACCTTTTTAACCACATTATATTCCGTACAAATTAAAGCACATAATAGAGAAAATTTTTCAACTCAATTTTAAAAAGAAATCAATTTTACATGAAAAGAAAAACAAAATCATAAATAAAAAAAAAAAAATTTTCAAAAAGAAGACAAATTTTTATAAAATTTTCGAATCAATTTATTCTTTTTTGAAATAATTTATTCAATTATTCTTTTTGAATGATTAATTATATATAATGAATAAATAAATATTAATTAATAAATAATTGTTTAATTAATTAAACGTAATTTTTGTAATAATTTTTTTTATATACAAAAATCTAAATTATTGAAACATACAAAAAAAAAAATGTGTAACTTTTTGACCTTTTTGATTTAATAAAAATTTTTCATGTATATGTACTGGAATTCAGAATAATATTTATTTTGACTCATTAAATGCAATATTTTCTGAGGGACAGAGATTAAAATATAAATTCATATCATTCACGTGACAATCAATGACGTAGGTATATAGTAGGTACTCGTGTGTATGTGTGGTATAAATATATCTTGAGTCAGAGACAAGGTATAGATATATGGGAAGAAAAGAGAATATTATAATAATGACGAAGACATTTGTACATAATATATTAAACTCTCATGAAAGAAAAATTAAAAAAAAAAAAAAAAACTAAAAATCAGAATATTTTTAAGCGAAGTAATAAAAATTATAAGTGAATACAATAAAATCATTATATAATCAAAAATGATTATAATGAAAAATACAATTATTATATAAGTAGTTATATTAAAAAAAAATTAACATATATTGTCATTCAAAGAATGAAATGTTGATTTAACAGTTTATCTGCATATAAAAATTCAATGAAATATGTATAAAGAAAATAATACATTCTATACTTTACAATTATGATTTAATGTATACCTCGCTGTATAGTGTATAGATCAATGTGTATATTAATAAATCGTATTATAAACATTGTGAACTATTCAATTCATTTAAACCCTTTATTAAAATAATATTTTTGTGTTTTAAATTTTTTTTTAATTTTTAAAAAATTTTTATATAAAATTTATTATTTACAAAATTTGTCAATTTAAATTATTTTAAAATAAAATTACAACTAGTCATTAATTTAATTGCATAATTTTTGAAATATTATTTTTTATTCATTGCCTATTTATTCTTTATTTATTTATTAATAATTAAAATATTAATTAAAATTATAATTAAAATTACAATTTAAATTATAATTAAAATGATTATAAAAATTATTTTATTATTTTTAATATATGTAATTTTATTTATTTGTATTGTTTAAACAAATTATATGAATAATAATGTAATTCAAAATTATTCCTTTGATTCGATATACCTATATATATATTATAACAGTGGCCCTAGCAACCCTCTAACAAAGCCATGGAAACTCAAGTTCGTGGAAAATTGTTTGCAAGGTAAAACCATTATTTACTACCTTCAGTTATTTTCAGATTCAAGTGAAAATTGATTAACTGTCAATTTAATGTCAAAGATTTTTAATTATTCCAACACTTTGAATTCTTACAAAATTATTGTTAAATGCAAATGATTTTTAAGAGAAATATTTTTCATTGTCAAAATAAATGTCATTTTTAATGTAAGTACATTTTCATAAGAATTTTTTTTTCAAATAAACAATAATATATATATATAATTTCTCCCTTATTTGCAATAAATATATTTAATTTTGCGTTCAAACATTAGATTACAATAATTAGAAGTCATTCAGCAATGAATGAGAAAGCAAAGAAAACTTCTAATGAAAATTATTGTAAACGACATTTACAAAAAAGAACATTGTCACCAAATTGTGAGAGAGGGAAAGAAAAAAATTTATCTGAATCAGAAAATGGAGATGGCAAGAAAAGAAAAATTATCAAAAAATTTTCTAAGAAAGATTACTTCACTGATTTACATTGTAAAATGATTGATTTAGAAGCAACATGCAATTTTCCACAAAATTCGATGAAACAACAAACAAAGTAAGTATTTAATACAATATAATATTAATTTTACAAAATAAATATAGAAGAAAGATTTCTTTGATTCAAAGAAATCAATTTCTTTGACAAATTTTTCTTTGATACAAAGAAAATTTATTTGATTCAAACAAATTATGTTTGATTACACTGGAGTCTCCCAAGAGAGGACTTCTGAAGAGAGGACTAAGTAGTGACGCGGCGCGGTAAGGAGTGAGGGGGGAAGAGATGGGCGGGATCAGAAAGAGGAACGTGAACTCAGGAGCGTTTGTTTTTAGTGTACCTTTCTCGCGTAGTGTTTTACATACGTAACAGAATGTATTCTGTTAAAAAAAACACATCTCTGTGATACGATATACGGCCCTGGAGTGTTTACAATTTTCGGCGTCAAGGACGAATTCCGTAGAGAGGTCCAAGACTCTTTCTGTCCTCTCTTCGGAGACTCTAGTGTAAAAGAAAATTATCTTCGTTTCAAAGAAATTTTTTATTTCATTCAAATAAACGTTTCTTTGACCCTATATCAATATTAGAATTTCTTTGATATGTAATACACAAATATCTTTTTCATTCAAAGAAAAATTATTTGAAACTGTAAGAAGCTTTTTTTGTTTCAAAGAAAATTTTATTTTGAATGAAAGAAAATAAGCCAAAGAAATTGGCTTCTTTAAATCAAAGAAATTTTTTCTCTGTGTGTAATATAATAATATAACACCGTCCGACACGATTTTTGACCCACAAAAAAATTCAACATTTTCGGAAACTATAGGACCAAAAAAAAAATACCTGTCTCTGGCCGTTTTGCTAGATCAAGTCGGTTGTGATTTTTGATGGTGAAAACAACCCCTAAATGAAAAGTGACAAGATATCTTTTAAAAATTATTAATATTTTCTGAAACTTGTTATCTGAGGGTTTTCGGGGTGGCTGATTATTAATCTGATGTCAGATTTTCAAAATTCAAAATAGCAGATCCAATATGGTGATCAAATTTTTAAAAAGTTATTATTTTTTATAAAACTTGGTATCTAGGAGTTTGTGGGGTCGCTGATGACGAATCTGATGTCAAATTTTCAAAATTCAAATTGGCGGATATAAAATAAAAAATTAATAACTTTTTAAATTTTTGACCTCCATATTGGATCCGACATTTTGAATTTTGAAAATCTGACATCAGATTAATAATCAGCGACCCCGAAAACCTCCAGATGCCAAATTTTATAAAATATTAATAATTTTTAAAATATATCTTGTCACTTTTCATTTAGGGGTTGTTTTCACCCTTAAAAAGCACAAACGACTTAATCTTGCAAAACGGCCAGACACGGGTATTTTTTTTTTTGGTCCTAGTTTCCGAAAATGTTGGATTTTTTTGTGGGTCAAAAAAAAGTTGAATTTTGTCGGACGGTGTAAAATAATAACTTTTTATAAAAATATTCTTTTATATTATAAAAACATTTCGCCTACGCCAGGATTTAGATCGCACATAACCTCAAAAAATGAAGGTCAAATTTCAAGAGGCCGCAAATATAATAAATTAATTAATAATAATGATAATTAATAAATATAAATATAAAGCAAATACTTATTTTATAATTATAATAATTTATTCATGTTTGGAAATAAAATAAACATAAATGCGGTAACTCGTCGTACTTAAGTTCAGAAGAAATATTTTTTTGATTCAAAGAAATTTTTCTTTCGATTAAAAATACAATTCAAAGAAAAAATTTCTTTCATTCAAAACATTTCAATTTTTTTTTTCGTAAAAGCAAAGAAACCTTTTCTTAATTGAAACAAATTTCATCTTTGATTCAAAAAAAGTGATTTTAAAAAAACAATTTCTTTGTTTCAAAATTACAAAATAAAGTAATAAATTTATCACATAAAAATAAATTGATGAAAGATATAAAATTTGAAAAATGATCTCAGAATAAGAAAAAAAGGACAAAGCATCAGCAATGATCGAAAGAATAAGGAGATTAACATTAAAATAAACAGCTATCTATCAATGCGAAAGAAACGAGAGGAATTTCGACAACATGTTGTGAATATTATTCTCGGCAAACATAATGAAAAGTCTATTTGTGGAAATTGGTTCACCGAAAATGATATGAACATTTTAAGATATTACTATTACATTATGCATGGAGTCGATAGTACACATGTCCCGCCAATGGAGGAAACAATTTTAAAAAATATTTTAAAATTGGTACCACACAAATGGCAAAATAAATTTAAGGATACTATGAAACAAGTTGTTAAAGAAGCAATGGAGGACTATACACTTTCAGTTAAAAAATCGGTTGTCGACTTTGTCCTTCAAGATCCTTTAATTGATGAGTCCATCACCAATGATCAGGTTCTTTATTTATTTCTATTTCTTTTGAAAATTGTTTTCTAATTATTTATAAACTCTGAATTATAGTAACCGATTTATTTATTAAACTAATTTAGAGTCAAATTTCAAAAGAAAGATACGAAATAAAACAATTCCCACCGGAACATGCTGTGAAGTGTCGAAAAATTAAATCAAAATTGAAAAAAATTTTATTATTAAATCATCCTTGTATGCGAAAAGCTTTAGATGTTTGGTTTCATGAATTTGTGTAAGTGATGACAATTTTTATAAATATAAATTTATTATTATTATATTATAGGTATATCTAAATTTATTTTTAAACTAGAAAAATTTGAATATTTGAAAATTAGTAAAAAAAAAAATCAATAACATTCAGAAATTTGATTAATTTTTCATTGTCACAAGTACAATGAGGCAAATTGACACAAAAGAATTGGAAACTTTTGGTGAATCCTACGATCTGACAACATTTGAAAATCATTTCTCAAAAATGGTAAACAAAACTAAAAATGATCTCTGCAAAAATTGGCTTCCAAAGATATACAACGCATGTTTAATTGTAAGCAATTTTTTAACAAATATCTTAATAAATACACTTTAAAAAGTCATAAATTTGAAATAATTAATTCAAATAAAAATAACAAAAATTCAAAATTAAGGGATAAATAATAATAATAATTTATGGGTAAATTTTTAAATTTTAAACATCAAAATTTTACAGGCAAATAAAAAAGGAACTCTACCCGATCCTAATGATTCAAATTTATTGTCAAGATTCTATAACTGTTTGGCTTTCGTAATGGAAAGTCAGTTGCAAAATTTGTGTTTGAGATCAATGGAGGATTATGTAAATTATTTGCTAGATGTTGGTGTAAGTTATTTTACTAATTAAAATGTTTAAAAAAAAATAGGGACGCATGATTATGTTCTAAAAATCAGTAGTTCAGAATTCTGCAAAATACTAATTCGGCTCAAAAATAATTATGACAAATGAAATTTCATAAAATGAAAATTCTAACTAATGATTTTTAGAACAAAATCATACGTCCCAAAAAATATATTTTTTTGTGTAAATTTAAACAAATTTAAGAATATTTTTATTACTCACATTTAAGAATAGAAATTATTTTTAATTTTAATGCAGTCGCGAGGCTCTCCAACGCAAACGAAAGTAAGTATAAGTTTTGTCTGACTAAAACTACTTTTTACTACTGAGAATAAGATTACAAGAATTTTATTACTTTGGTCTGTTTAAAACTATATTTTTTTCTATTAAATATAAAGTTACATCTTGTGTAAGAAGTTTCCCACTTTACCCTAATATTTAAAGCTTTAATTAGGATCTCGATAGTTTTCCCTATTTGCAAAAATGAAAATACCTAAACTAAGTTTCTAACATTACAACCTTTTATAATATTTCTAAAAAGAAATGTGTTTTTAAATTTTAATATTGATTTATTTTGGAAAATTTTTCGTAAATGTTATAATAATTGTTTCTTTTTGTGCTCGAATAGCACAAGTTAGCACAAATTGGCACAAAAGTTATTTAAAAACAAAAACAACAAAATGACGTTGCTAACTTCTCACAGAAAATTAAAAGGCATTAAAATAAGCTGCAACGCTTATTATATTAATCCACTTTTGCTTATTTTAATACCAAAATGGATTAAAATAAGCAAAATTGGATTAAAATAAAAAGCGTTGCAGCTTATTTTAATGCCTTTTAATTTTCTGTGCTTCCACGTAAATTATTTAAAATTATTATAAACTATTATTAAATGTTACGCTCCAAGAGAAAAGGGACCTTATATAGTAAAGAAATTTTAGGTTATGTTTAGTGATAGTTTTACCTTGATAAAAAGTTTCTAATTCAATAGATAAAATAAAAAATAGCTTTTTATTTTCAAATTTTTAACAAGACAAAAAAAATTATTTTAATATTGAATTTTTTTCCTCATTTTTCAGTACCATAATTGTGGATTTAAATTAGAAGTAACGGTACGAAACAAATGTATCGGTTTTGATCCATCTTTCACAAATTACACGGATATTCTTCTTGGATTATTAAATTCTCTCGTAAATGCTGTTTCCGTTTATGCAAGAATGGAAATAAAACTTTACCAAAATGTCCCTTCTTTTAGTAATCGTCAATCTCTCCAGGTAAATTATTATTATTATTTATTAAATTACTATTTTTCATTCTAATCTATAATAATTTTTATACAAAAATTTATAGGTTTTTTTATTAATATTTTTTACCATATATTTTAAATAATTTAAATATTTTTACCAGCCTGTCATTTTGAATGAAATAGTAAGGGAACATAGTAAAAAAATTACAGAATTAATTCAAGAACACAGAATTGGCCCTGAACTTCAACAACAAGATTTTGATATTTATTCATCATTAATTAACAACGATGCGGGAAAATTTGTTGATGAATTTCTAAGAGCAAAGCCACAACATACTTTTCAAGAATATAACGAACTTATTGGCAAATATGATAAATTAGCAAAAAATATTCCCATCGAATTTGAACGTACTGTTTTCACTGGGCTTTTTGAGGTTAATAGAAGTGGATTTTTAGAATTCATTGCTGATAAAGCTAGAAAATTAAAAGACGAACTTGTCAATAAAATGACTATGGATTATCAATATAAATCGAGAACGTAAGGAATATTTAAGGAGATTTTTTCATTTAATTTTTTACACATTACTCTCTTAATTTGAATCAGTGAAATTTCACTGGTGAAATAGCTAGAAGTCGGTTACTGAATCATTTAGTGAAATTTTCACTGAAAATCAGTCATATATCACTGATTTCCAGTGAAAATTTCACTAAATGATTCAGTAACCGACTTCTAGCTATTTCACCAGTGAAATTTCACTTATTCAAATTAAGAGAGTAAGTAAATCAATTTTGGCAAATAATAAAAATTGGTATATGGGCATATCTCTAGAACTTTTAAACTTTGAGATATTAGAAAAATTAATTTTTTTTTCAGGGCACATTCGTGAAACAAATTTTATTGTCTTCAGTATTGATCAAATACTATAAAAAAATTTGCGTAACTCATTTTTACACATTGTTACGCATCACAGTGGGCCTTATTGCAAAAAACCTGCCAATATGGCGGACGACTTTTAAAAAAATTGATCGAATTTGTCTGAAATTTGTTTCTCGGGGTTTTTTTGGGTCGCTACCACCTTTAAAATAATTTAATGCTACAGTTTCGAAAATTTTATGATCTATTGCTTATTAAGTCATAAGTAAATGTAGTTTATAACAATTTTTGAATTTTTTAAAAAATTTTGTTTGCAATTTTGGATCCACCATTTTGAATTTTGAAAAATTAAGTTCAGATTCGTAATCAGCGACCCCATAAACCCCCGAGTAACAAAAATTAGGCCAATGGGATCAATTTTGTAAAAAGTCATCCGCCATTATGAATTTTGTAAAACTAAGTTCAGATTCGTAGTCAGCGACGCAAAAAACCCCAGAGCAACAAATTTCAGGCCAATTGGATCAATTTTTTTAAAAGTCATCCGCCATATTGGATCCGCCATTTTGAATTCTGAAAAACAAAGTTCAGATTCATAATCAGCGACCCCAAAAACCCCCGAGTAACAAATTTGAGGCCAATGGGATCACTTTTTTAAAAAGTCGTCCGCCATATTGGATTCGCCATTTTGAATTTTGGAAAATTTAAAATTCAGATTAGTAGTCGCAGCGACCCCAAAAACCTTCGAGTGAGAAATATCAGCCAGATTTAAACACATCTATTAGTTAATACTTACTTTTCTTCACAAACTATGCGTCGTACAGTTTAGGTTTATATTCATTATTAATTATACAGTTTTAATGAAGTGTGCAAAGGTTAACTATTTTTCTGTATACTTTTATAATGCATGAGAAGAGATTACAATGAGTTGGGAGCATTTAGAAGCAAAATTCAACGTGTGCTTTTCAAATATGTGGTTTTTTGATTTAAGTTACGTTTTAAAATTTAATGTTTGAAGTCATTGCATTCTTTGTGTAAAGGAGGCACACATTCCTGTATGGGTTCAAATTACTTCTTATTAGGTAGATAATATAATCCCGTTGTGCCGTTACTCAAAAACCTTCGTTAAAAAAGTTACATCAGTTTAACTGCTAACTTGTAGAAATTTTGAAAAAGTTGTCTCGCAAGTTTGAAGCTACATAGTTTTTATTCAATTTGAGGCACATCATTGTTTTATGGATTTTTTAGTTCTTTACACTCCCACCTACTTCTATTGCAAGCCACAAGATACACAATCTTTCGTTAAAAAAGTTACTGTCTATAAACTAAAAAAAACAGTCAATATCACACACTAGAAACTGTCGATTTCACCACTTTAACTTACGTTCGTCATTTCCTACATAATTAAAAAAATTATATAACGCATGATACATTTAAAAAGCCCTATAATTGGTCAAATTATGGTATTGAAAAATTATTACAAAAATTTTTAAGGTATCATAATGAGCGATAACATAAAGTTTAAAAGTTTTAGAGATATGCCCATATAACTTAAAATTAAAAAAAAATACGCTGACCTTTTTTTAATTTCGTAAAAAATAATTATATATTATTTATAAGACCATTTTCACTGTGTGGATAAATTTAATCTTTCGAGAGGTTAAAGGCAGTAAAGATATATTTTGCGTCTGCGCAGAATGTTTGTATACAGCTTCTGCGCAGACGCAAAATATATCTTTACTGCCTTTAACCTCTCGGAAGATTAAATTTATCCACACAGTGAAAATGGCCTCTATATTTGATCCAAATCATACTAAAATTTTTTTAAACAGAATAGGAGAAGAATATCAGAGTATAGCAAATCGAGCCCTAAGCAAACCGCCAAATACCGCGGAATTAATGAAGCTACGAGCTTTTGTGGAAAAAGCCGAAACAGAAATGGTGAAAAATTTGGAAAATCGACTCAAAGAAGTAATGGAAAATATTTTATTTCTATCAGATTATACCTTGTTGACACCAGTTGAAATCAAGACCAACAATTTTGCTTTTCAATGGTAAATTATTAATTCAAGATTAAAAAAAAGGGGGGACAAATATAATTGGAACAAAAATTGTGTCAATTCTCTATTTTGGAATTATTAATTAAAATAAATATTTACACTTCAAAATAAATATTTCAGTTTAAGTGTAAACAAAAATATAATTTTTTTTAAAGAAATATTGATAGAAAATTAGACCTATAAATCTGCAATGAATTTCAATATAATTTTATAAGTTAATAAAATCAGACAAAACAGTAAATAGTGTAAGTGTATGAATTACTGCTGATGCGCCAATTACTGCGATTTTTATAAAATTAGTAAAACTTAGTAATTGAGAACATAAAACTATTTCAAAATGACTTTAAAACTTATTCCAAATAATATTTGATATTATATCCACTAATGATGCATATTTTGACTATTATCAAATTATTATTTATTCAAGTTACAATTGAACCTATCACAGTAATTAGAGCATACGTATATTTTTCTCATGCTGCTATTACTGTGGTCTATCCAGTCAATCTAACCTCTAAATCAACACTTTTAGCGTTGCAGTAATTGGTGCACATCATTCGCAGTAATTCATGCAAACTTGCAGTAATACCAGCATATGCCATTTTTAAAAAAGTTAATATTTTTAATAATAGATTTGTTATTTCTTCAAGTTTAAAGTATCGTTTCTATTTTAATAGACACTAATAGTGATTTAACAAAAAGAATTAAATTATTATTTTATTTACACTTTTATTATTTTATCATTAAAGTCGGTCTTGGGTTGTACATCATACTCTCTAAATTTGAATCAGCGATAAGTATACCACTGGTACCAATCAGCGGATATACGCTGAAAAATCAGTGAAATTCCACTAATTCATCAGTGCATATAAGCTGATTGGAATCAGTGGTATACTTATAGCTGAGAATCAGCGAGATTCCGCTGATTCAAATTTAGAGAGCAGTAATTGGGACATTTACCCTATTTGACTATAATTTATACTACATAATAACCTTAAAATATCAGGTATCACAAAATGCCTTCAATTTTCGAGGAACATCGAAATATTATTGACAGTAAAACTGGTGAATATCAAGACGCTTTAGTGGAACGAGTTGAAAAATTTCAACAGGATCTTCAATTGTATTGGAAATATGCCAATGAAATGCAATATTGGGGCAATGTTGACGAGATTTTTCGATATAAGAAAAAAGCAACGAGATTGGAAAGTCGACTTATTGCCGCCATGGAAACAATTGACGAATTCAATGATGAAGAACAAATGTTTGGATGGGAATTATCACAATACCCATTAAGAAAACAGGTTCAACAAACAAAATAAATTCATTTTACAATTTAAACTGAGAATATTAAATTCCTACACAATTTAAATAAAACAAAAAAGATTCTATTAATATATTCCTTTATCTTGATGAAGGATTTTGAAAAAAGAAATTGAATTTTAGACTTTATAAAGAACTTTAAAGTCAAAAATTCATTTAAATTTTAATATATATATTTAAAATATTACTGTAATATTTAATTTTTGTTTATTTAAAAAAAAAATTTAATATTCTAAATATAGATTGCAGACAAACTTGGACCTTATAAAAAGTTTTACGACGCAGCCTGTGATTTTATATCAAACAACAGTAACTGGATGAACTCAATGGTCGGCTCTCATGACCCAGATGAAATTGAAACAGTCTCTGGTACATTGTTTCGTACTATTTTAAAATTGGAAAAAAATTTTCAAGAGCCAGCTGTCAGAAAATTGGCAGAAAATGTACGTGCAAATATTGAGGAATTTCGTGAACATATGCCACTTATATTGACACTTGGAAATCCCGGAATGAAAAATCGTCATTGGGAACAAGTTTCGGAAATTGTTGGATTTCCAATTAAAGTTGATGATAATATGACTCTAGCCAAGGTAAATATAGAGAAATAAAAATTTTAAATCACATAGAGTATATGTAGTATAATATATAATTTACAAAAATGTTTCATTCTAATTTTTGAAAAGAAAATTGACAGAATTTTAATTGACTTAAATTGGCCTAAAAGTAACACGGAATAATTATTACTTGGCCTAATCTGTATTTGACCTAACTCTTATTTGGCCTAATTTTATACACGGAGAAAAAAGAATTGTTGTGGTTACTAAAAATTAAGTCCACACAACAATTCCGGATTGTCAATATAGAACCAACAGTTTTATTTGTTGTTGGGACAAAAAAAAATTGGGATTGTTCGGTGAACAAAGAAAATTGTTATGGAAAAGTTGAAATAACAAAACTAAATTGTTAAATCGGCAAACAATTTGTTTTATTAACAAAGCTTTGATCCGTCTAATACAATTTGTTCAGTTTCTTAGCCTTCTAAAATAATCGATAGCAGATTTCCGTAGGTCATATCACCAGTTTCATTTGCATTAAAATCTGTGAAACATGCAGCTTCTGAATCAAATTCTTTGACCTGAAACCAAAAAATTATTTTGAGTTGAAATTTGTTGTTAAATAAAATTTCATATACATTTTGTATTTTTTAAGGTGAGGTTATGTTCAATAGTAACCGTATATAACTTATCGATAAACGATGAAATTGTATCTTCATCCATTCACCACACTTGCAATAGATTTTTCACTTTAACCGGATTCATTATTTAACAGCACTTTGTCATTTAAAAAAAACTAATAATAAAAGCAAAAGTGGCACATGTGCCAGAAGCAAACGACGTGACGATCTGCACGCCAGTTTGTGAGAATTCAAGATGACCACGTGACATGGAACAATAAACCTGTCAGCTGAACAAATCCGGATTGTTCCATCAGCAATCGACAGAGAGTTTGCTTCTGCAACTGTACGGAATTGCAAACTGAACAAAACTGACAACAAAAAATTCGTATTGTTGTTAAAACAACATACATTTGTATTGACAACAATCCGAATTGTAATATCAACAAATCTACTGACAACAATCCAAAAATTGTTTGCATAACAATCCCATTTTTCTCCGTGTAATTCTTTTAATCTAATCCTAATTTAAACTAATCGTCATTTGTCCTAATTATCATTTGGTCTAATCTTAATGTAACCTAATTCTTATTTGCCATAATATATTTATCTGCCCTAATTCTCACTCGGCCTAAATTTTTTATAATACTTTTTTGGCCTCATCCTTATCTGACATAATTATTACTTGGCCTAAACATTATTTGCCATAATCCTTATTTGAAATAATTTTCATCTAATATAATTATCATTTTGACTAAACACCGCTTAAGGTAATTTTCATTTGATCAAATGAGAATAAGATTATGAAAAGATTAGATCAAATGAAAATTACCTTAAGCTGTGTTTAATAGTACAAATGATAATTAGGCTAGATGAAAATTATTTCAAATAAGAATTCTGGCAAATAATGTTTAGGCCAAGTAATAATTAGATCAGATAAAGACGAGGCCAAAAAAGTATTACAGAAAATTTAGGCCAAATGAGAATTAGGGCAAATAAAAATTGAGTTCATTCGCTTTACTGAATTCGCTGTTTTCAATTTTGAAAATCTGAATTCAGATTTGTAATTAGCGACCCCAAAAAGCTATCATCATATTGGATCTAACATTTTAAATTTTTCATTCGTAATCAGTGACCCCAAAAAATCGCTAAATACGAATTATGAATAAAATTGGAATCAATTGAAATAATTTAGGCTTTAAGAGGGTTTAATAAATTTTTATAAGGATTTTTTTCATTTTTAAATAATCAATTTTTCATAATTATACTGACAAAAAATTATTATCAATAAATTAAAGATAATCGACTTTGGATTGGACGAGTATGTACCGAAATTTGAAGGCATCTCAGAGGCAGCAACTAAGGAAAATAATTTAGAGAAAGCCTTACTAAAAATGCATACAGACTGGACTGAAATAGAATTTATGGCAAATCCATATCGTGACACTGGTACTTTTGTAATCGCCAGTATCGATGATATTCAACTTTTGTTGGATGACCATCTGACAAAAGCTCAAACTATGAAAAATTCTCTCTATATAAAACCATTTGAAAAAGAGACACTGTGGGTTATAACGCTTTTTATATTCCACACTATTATATATATTTATGAATCACTGAAAAAAAAATTTCTATGGAGTATTATTATTATTATTATTATATTTTTTTTAGAGAATGGGAAGCCAAGCTACATCTTCTACAGGATATTATGGATTATTGGCTTAAAGTTCAAGCTACTTGGATGTATTTAGAGCCAATTTTCTCTTCCCCTGATATTCAACAGCAAATGCCGGAGGAGGGTCGTCGATTCAGTGCTGTTGATAAAGTAATTAACAAATATTGCGTATTATTATAATAATTACCATCTATCTCCCCTCTTTTTTTTATTTGCAGTTTTTATTAGATAATTAATTGCCAGAATTTCTAGATCATCGAATCTTTATTTCAAAGAATTTTTATTTGCCAAATTGTTATTTTATAGAATTCTTAAAACACAAAATCAAACATAACCTACAAAAAGATTTCGTCGCGATTTATAAAATTCATCTATAAGAAATTATCAAGAAAATTGTGATTGGTGAATTTTATAAATTGCGCCAAAATCTTTCTGTAGGTTATGTTTGTTCGGCTATTTGCAATTTCGGTCAAATGAAAACTCTGACTTTTAAGAACTCTATTCTTGTATTTAAAAAATCAACTCCAGGGATCACAGTACCTTTTGTCATCAAAAAAGGTGAAAAGGTACAATTGAGTCGCCGGAAAGTAAAAGGGCGCATAAAATTTGTACAGCCAGCCAACTCAAACGTCCGTACAAACTTTATGCGCCCTTTTACTTTCCGGCGGCTCAATTTTTTTCAAAAATAGGTGACAAAAAAATCATTGTTAAAGATGAATAAACATGAATAAACATGAATAAACATGAATAGGTGAAAAAAGGTGAATAATAATATGGAATAAGAATTTTACTGCATTAAAATTGAGTTAAATTGCGATTCTTTTAAATAAACAGTCGGATTATAAGGGACGCAGATTATATGTTCTAAAAATCATTAGTAATAATTTTCATTTTATGGAATTTCATTTGTCAAAATTATTTTTGAGCCAAATTTTTATTTGTTCGAATTAGTATTTTGCAGAATTTTAATCAAGCTGATTTTCTATATTACAGAATTTTTATATAAACGAAAATTCATTTCACAGAATTTTTATTTGTCAGAATTTTTATTTGCTCGAATTTTTATATAACATAATAGGCATTTTAAAGAATTTTTATTGAGTAGAATTTCATTGCATAGAATTTTCTTTCAGATGAATTTTCATTTGTTCGAATTATTAATTGATATAATTTCCATATAACCGATTTTTCATACTACAGAATTTTTACGTAACGGAAAAATCATTTAACAGAATTTTCTCCGAAATTGCAAAGTGCCGAATAAACAATCGATGGAAAGATTTCGTCGCGATTTTTAAAATCAATCAAACAAAAATTATGCATAAAATTGTGATTGGTTGATTTTAAAAATCGCTCCGAAATCTTTCTGCGGATTGTTTGTTCGGCCATTTGCAATTTCAGACAAATGAAAATTCTATCAATTAGAAATTTTTTAAAATGATTTTTCGGTTAATTAAAACTTCTGTAGAGTGAAAAATCGGTTATATGGATATTATATCAAATAATAATTCAAACAAATGTAAATTCATCTGAAAGAAAATTCTATGCCAGGAAATTCTGCCCAATAAAAATTCTTTAAAATGCCTATTATGTTAAATGAAAATTCGAACAAATAAAAATTCTGTGAAGTAAATTTTCGGTTATATAAAAATTCTGTAATATAGAAAATCGGTTTAATGAAAATTCGAACAACTAAAAATTCGGCTCAAAAATAATTATGACAAATGAAATTCCATAAAATGATATTTATGCACTCTAATTTCAGTTATATAGATATTTTTTTAAAATGTTTATAGATTTGGAGAGATATAATGTCATCAGTGGTGGCAGATCCAAAAGTAATGTCAGTTGTTGAAATCGATAAAATGCTCGATCGGTTGAAGAAATCAACAAATCTATTGGATTTAATTCAAAAAGGTTTAAATGATTATCTCGAGAAGAAGAGATTATTTTTCCCAAGATTTTTCTTTCTTTCGAATGATGAATTATTAGAAATTTTATCAGAAACAAAAGATCCAATGAGGTAAGAGTAATACAACAGAAAATTTCCCTTATTAATTAATTATACTTCTTACATGTACACTGAAAAAAAAATTAATTTGATTCAAAAAATCTCTTACTTGACTATTATCAAATAAACATTAACTTGAGTCAAATAATTAATATTTGATTCAACTACATGGTATTTGTTTCAAATACAGAATTTATTGGTTCAAATGCAGTTTATTTAATTCAAATAAAAATTATTTGGTTCAAGGAAATATTTATTTGCTAATAGTCAAAAGTAACCGTTTATTCAAATCAAATAACTTTTTTTTTATATATCTTATATTAACGGAAGGCACCACCTTTATTTTGACTCCTTAAAATTTTAATGATCGCAAAAAGTGGTTTTTTTTTCTTTTACATCATTTATGGAGTCTAAAAACATACAAATGATCAAAAAAAAGAAGAAATAATAATTTTTTGCGATTTTAGAAATTCTATTTTTTTAAAAGAATAAAAAAATTTTTAATTTACAAATTTATTGTGGAGAATAATTAACAAAGCATCTGAAAAAATTATCAATGGAAAATAGTAAAAAAAAAAAAAAAAGTTCACTATTTAAGAGAGAAGACTAATGAAATTTCAACACATTTTTTTCATTTCAGTTTTTGAAAATTAAAAATTTTTCAAAATCCATACGAGAGATTCAAAAGAATCATTCAAAGAAAAGCGTGGGAAAAAATTGACAATACAAAATACAAAAATTGTAAAAGTAATTCAATTTTAAAAAAAAAAATTAATTTTATTACAACTATAAATTTTAAACAAGGAGGGGGTCCTTTATGTTTATTTCATAAACATTATGCTTCCTCATTGTGTGAAGCAAAAAATTCGCTTCCTCGTGAAGGAAGCAATGAATTTGTCCAATTCAATTGATTGATTTAAAAAATTTCGAGTTAAAAATGTTTTAAATTAATTAAATTTTTTGAAAAATAAAGAAAATTTTAATTAATTTTGAGTGTAACATAAACTTTATATATACGAATCGATTCGTTTTAATGCAAGGAATACAATTATTTTATTCATCAACTTGAATTTTAAAAAAAACACAAAATTTTTTAGCTAAAATATGAATTTTCGATTTTTCAATTTTTATTAATTCTCAAATTTTAAATCAAATCTATACTTTATATATACCAACCAATTCGTTTCAATGCAGGGAATAAAATTATTTCATATATAAACATGAATTTAAATAAACACATCATTTTTTAGCTAAAATGAGAATTTTTGATTTTTTAACTTTCTTTACTTAATTCTTTAAATTTCAATCAAATCTATACTTTATATATATCAATCGATTCATCTTGACATAAAGAAGACGATTATATTATATATTACCTTAAATTTTTCGATTTAAAAATTTTTTCAATTAAAAAAAAAATTTTGGAAGAAAGACGATAAAATTTTTTTTTGGGGTATTTTTAAAAATCCTCTCGTCATTTTTGAGAGATTAATGTGTTAAATAAGCCTACCAAATTTTATCCAAATCCATTAAAACCTGTTAAAGATATCGTGTTCACAAAAACGATCCACACACACATACACACACACACACATACACACACACACACACATACACACACACATACATACATCCGGACAATTGATCAGGATCTCATATAACATGTTTATATATAGAGGAAAATTTGTTTTCACCATTTTTAAAAAGTTTATAAACGAAAGGACTACATAGCTTCCTCCACGAGGAAGCAAAATGGTCAAAAATTAAAATTTTCTTTTTTTGACCACCCTTTATTTTTTTTAAGACACGCAAATGATGCAAGAAAAAAAATACAACTTATTGTGATCATTAAAATTTAAAGGGATCAAAATAAAGGTGGTGCCTCTCGTTAATAATAATAATAATATAATAATAATAATAATAATAATAATAATAATAATAATAATAATTTTTTAAAAATTCGTGGAACTATTTTTTGATGTTATAAACATACCCCTAAATTTAGGGTTCAACCTCATCTAAAGAAGTGCTTTGAAGGAATTGCTAAATTAAGTTTCACGGAACAGATGGAAGTGACGATGATGAAATCTTCTGAAGATGAGCACGTAACTCTCGAGGATATAATCGATACTGTTGCAGCTCGAGGCCAAGTGGAAAAATGGTTGGTCGAATTAGAAACTGTTATGAAGAAAAGTGTCCGAGCCCAGGTGAAATATAATATTTCATTTATATTTTAATATATGAAATTTTTAATTATCGTACATTTTTTCCATAGTACGATGCGATGTTTTAACTTTTTTTTTTTTAATTCAATGATAAAAAATCCAACGTTCCGAGAACTTATCGTTTTAATAATTTACAGTAAAATAGAATATTATAAATTACACGTCGGTGAAGTTCAGACAACGTTTTTGATCAAAGATTGAAAAAAAAAAATTATTTAAAAAATAATAATTAATTTTTTTCTTTAAACAAATTTTTTTTCATAAAATTGTTTATCGAGAAACGTTGCAAACAATTTTTTAGATAAAAAAAATACAAATATTTACGGTAAAATATATTTATAATAATAAATTTTAATTTATTATTTATTAATTAATAAATATTAATTGATAAATATTGATTAATAAATATTTAGAGAGCCAAATTATATAATTTTCGAAGAGGGCGAATTTGTTTATTTGTTTAAAAAGTTTATTGATATTATCAACGTACCATGTATGAACTGCGTCCACCTGTACACAAAGCTGCTCTGGACAGTAGAAAAAAAATTTACATACCAAGTATATGCGAAAAAAAAATATCACTGTGTCCTTTTTTCACAAAGTGTAATTTTGCCCCAGTTAGAAAAAAAGTAAAGTTAATTAAAAATCTAACTGATTTTTACAAAGTCTAAATGAAATTTTCTAAAAATGCTAATTATAAGCAAATTAACTTTAAATGTCGTAAATGTCCAATTATCAAAAAAAAAAAAATTAAATTACTCAAGTACGTGAGAAAAAAAATCATATTTGAAAAGAAAAATTTACCCAGTAATTGTACATTTACAAAGTGATTAATTTTCAAAAGAATTAATACTACATAAAACGATTAATGCAAAAAAAGCACAATTTTTAATTAATAGAATTTTGTCACATAGAATTATTTTTACATATTTGAATCCCAAAGTTTATATTACCTTTTTCTTACAATGATCGAACAACAAACGGATTTTCCGTAGAAGACACTGCACTGTTTCACGACAATTATCTCTAATACGCGTAATTTAAAAAAAAAACAATTTTAAGAAACACGAATACTACTTTCGGAAATTATTAATATTAACGCATATTTTTACTATTATTAGCACGATGATAAAAAGACAATTTTATTGATTTGCTCGCGGATGAAAGAAAATTCTTCGAAACATAACCTCACTTTTAATAACTTCACGCGGACTTATACAATCAAAAACCGAAAGGACAATAAGCTCCCTTGTCTCATATGTACTTTGTTGTAAAACACGTTAAAAATATAATCGCGTGCACACTATAGTAAAATAATATCTTTTTCCAAAACATCGTAAAGAATCAACTTTTAGCGAATGTGACTTTACTATAGCAAAAATAATTCAAAGTTTAATAGCGACAACTCCAGATTTATAATTTAATCTAAAATTATGAAATTTTATTAAATAAAACTTTAATAAAAAGTGAAAAAAAGTAAAAAACGAAGCCACTAAAATCGCGATCGCGTTACATTGCCTAGAATGAGCTGTAAGTGGACGCCATCTGGTTTCAATTATCGAAAGTTGTCGATTCGTCGATTATCGATTAACTTCTTTCATGTAATCGAATCGTGATTCTAACCTCAACTGACTAATTATCAAACTCATTAAACTATAATTAATTTGTGATTATAATAATATATACCTAGTGAAGAAAGATGAGAAGTATTGTAACGATAATATCCAAAATTAAAGGTCATTGTAAATAAAAACAAAAATTTGTGAATAGAGAAAATTAATGATTATAAAAAATGAAAAAAAGTTAAAAAGTGCATAAAATAATAATAAAAAACATTTTATCACTCTTCCGATGGTCGTATAATGTATATATATATATATATATATATATAAATATATAGGTGATTCGGGCAAAAGAAAGTTACCTGAAGAAAGAGCGTAACAAATGGGTTCTCGAATGGCCAGGACAAACAATCCTTTGTATTTCTCAACTTTACTGGACCGCAGACGTTACGAATGCATTTTCCAATGCTCCACAGGGATTAAAGGATTATATAGATGTGTGTAACCAGCAGCTTAATCAAATCGTTCTTCTTGTTCGTGGAAAGCTCTCTAAACAGAATCGAACTACTTTAGGTATTATAAAATTTATTATACTATTAAATATTCTCTTAAATTAACCTACAAAATTTCTTTATAATTAAGTAATAAAGTATTTATTTTTTATTTCATTAAATTCTTATTTTTTAATTAATCATTATTTCAAAAATTTTGTATCTAATTACTTTTAATTCTTTTAATTGAACATTATTTTAAAAATTGCAATGATCGTTTTTAATTTAATTTTTTAATTTATTATTATTTGAAAAATTTTTAATTATCATATTTTTAATTTATTTAAATTTTTTAATAAATCACGTCAGTGAAGTTTACACGAAGCTGAAGTACACAAACGTTTATAATAAAGGATTTTTAAAGAAATAATTTTTTAAAATTAAAAATTCTATAATTTTTTGCCTAAAAAATATTTCTTGTAGTTTTCAATAATCAACAAATTATAGAAAATATTTTTTAGACAAAAAATTATAGAATTTTTCATTTTAAAAAATTATTTCTTTAAAAATCGTTTATCATAAACGTTGTGTACTTCAGCTTCGTAAGTTTACGACGTTTATTGGTCAACGAATTAGAAGAAAAAATATCTTTCTGTTCAAATTATTATTATTATTAAAAACAAAATATTAATTATTATTTTCCGAATAATATAAAAGAATAATAATAATAATAATAATAATAATAATAATAATAATAATAATAATAATAATAATAATAATATACATATAGGTACTATTGTAATTATTTTTAATGTAATAATGTACTGAATTGCTTTCAATTTTGCAATTAATTATATTTCTTTTAATAGCAAAATAAATTTGTAAAAGTTGTCAAAAAAGATGCTGAATAATTATTTTATTTATTATTTTTTTCAGGTATGATAAAAATTATCATTTAAAAAAAATAATAAAAAAAATCTGATTTTTTCGATTTATAAATAAGATTTTATTATTTAAATCAAATTTCTTTTTATATTTACCTCACATTTTTTAAAGTTTTATTACTAAATTATTTATTTTAATAAATTTTTGATTAAAATATTTTTAAATTAAGAACTAAAATTGTCCAACAGTTCTTGCTTTTCAAAATTGTTGATTTCTAAGAAGTCAATAATTTAGTAACTACTAGCAAAAAGTTTAAATTATTAGAACTTTTTTTTTAGAAAATATTTTCACTTAAAAAAATTTTAAACTATAAAATTATCCAAAAAGAAAAATTTGTTTAAAAATGTTTTACTATTTCTAAAATTAATAACTTTATAATAATAGTAAAATCACTGAAATAAATCAAATGAAACGTTTTTTAAATATTCTTTTAACTAATTATTGTAGTTTTAACGTAATGTAAAGATTCTTAAAAAAATATTTTCAGAGTTCTCTCAGGTCAGGGAAAAATCACAAAGCTGAAGTACGCAACGTTTATGATAAATGATTTTTGAAAGAAATAATTTTTAAAAATAAATAATTCAGTAATTTTTGTGCCTAAAAAATATTTTTTTATAATTTCTTGACTAATGAAAACTACAGGAAATATTTTTTAGGCAAAAAATTATAGAATTTTTCATTTTAAAAAATTATTTCTTTCAAAAATCATTTATCATAAACGTTGCGTACTTCAACTTCGTGAAAAATTAGGGTTTTTTATTAAAAACACTGAAAAAATATCAAAAAACTAAAATTATTTTTAAAAAATTCCGAATTTTTTTTAAAAACAGAGAAATTTAATAAAAAAAATTTCCATTACGTAAACAAAAAATTATTTTCTCAGTGTCAGGGAAAAAGACAAAAATTTTTCTGAAAATCAGGGGAAAAATAAATTACATTTTTGTGGCAATTCTGATTTTAAAAATTCGTGTTTAGAAAATTTTCTATATTTTCAAAATGTAAATAAATAACTTTGGATAAAATCTCAATTGAATATTCGCCAATAGATTAGCAGATTAATTTTGAACCTTAAAATCTACAATATTAGATGTGAAAAATATATTTAATTAATAAATTAATTGTAACCCGTATAAGTTGTTAATAAATAAATTTATTTAAAAAATCATTCTTTTAAAAGTAATTTTATTTTACAGAGGCTTTAGTAACAATAGACGTGCATTCCAGAGATGTTTTAGTCGGTCTTTTTGAGCAAAATGTGAAAGTCAGCACAGATTTCAAATGGCTCTGTCAACTACGCTACTATTGGATCGTAAAAAAAATATATATTTTTCATCATTTTCTGTATAATTTTTTTTTTCACAATTTACCATATATGTATATAATTATCTTTAATTCCAGGACGAAAACATGCTGACAATGATGATTAATTCATCATTGAAATACGGCTACGAATATCTTGGAAATAGTTCTCGACTTGTGATAACACCCCTAACTGATAGATGTTATCGAACACTATTTGGAGCTTTGAGCTTACATCTTGGTGGCGCTCCAGAAGGACCCGCGGGAACTGGAAAAACGGAAACAACAAAAGATTTAGCTAAAGCCGTTGCCAAACAATGCGTCGTTTTCAATTGTTCCGATGGATTGGATTACATTGCCTTAGGAAAATTTTTCAAAGTATAAAATTTAAAAGGATCAAAATAAATAAAAAAAAAAAACCACTTGAAACACTAATTTTGGCGATATTTTTTGAAAAATTAAAATCTATATTTTATAATCAAATTAAAACGATTGTTTTAAAAGTATATTCTATAATTTTTATTGCTTATGTTTAATTTTTCAAGTAATTTAATAATAGTTTCTTTTTTTATTATATTGCTGTGAAATTTGTATACGTTATAAATTTTTATAGGGTCTTGCATCATCCGGAGCCTGGTCATGTTTTGATGAATTCAACAGAATTGACCTGGAAGTATTGTCAGTAGTTGCACAACAAATTTTGACAATTCAACGAGCAATTAATTCTGGTAAATCGACTCTTATTTTCGAAGGAACTGAAATTGGTTTAGATCCAACGTGTGCTGTTTTTATAACAATGAATCCTGGTTATGCTGGCAGAACAGAACTTCCTGACAATTTGAAAGCTCTATTTCGTTCTGTAGCGATGATGGTAAACAAAAAAAAATTCTTTTCTCTTTTTATTCTATTCAGAAAATTATTTTTTTTAATATTAATTCTTAACTATTTTATAATAATTAAATTTATTAATTAAAATATTCTATTCATATGAAAATATTTTATTTGAAAATAACAATTTAAACTTTTTTTTTTAAAAGGCAATTTTTTTCAATTAGTTTTATAAAATAATTTCTTTTAAAAAATAGTTGAGAGAATAGAAATTGTTTAAATTGAAAACAAAATTTTCAACTAATTTTATTGAAAATATAATTTTGAAAAGAAAAATAATATTGAAAAATTTCGTTTGAAAGGTGCCCGATTATGGATTAATAGCAGAAAATACTCTTTATTCGTATGGTTTTCATAATGCACGACCATTATCTGTAAAAATTGTCATGGCATATCAACTTTGCTCCGAGCAATTATCAACCCAAAATCACTATGATTATGGGATGAGAGCTGTAAAATCAGTCCTTATAGCTGCCGGCAATCTTAAACTGAAATATCCAAATGAAAATGAAGATATTTTAATGTTACGAAGCATCAAAGACGTCAATCTTCCAAAATTCTTGAGTCCCGATATTCCACTTTTTCACGTAAAAATCAAAGAATTATTTTTTAAAATAAAAAAAATTTGGTTAAAAAGATTGATATAAAAAAAGTATTGATTATTATAAATTATTATTATTATTCTTTCAATTAATTATTATTAAGAATTAAAAAAGTAAAATTAATTTTTAAAAGACATTTTTAAGTTTTGTTTTTATCTGAAACAAACATTTTTAAAAAATAATTTTTTTAGAAAAATTTTTTCTATCTGTTTATTCAAATTATTCCTATTTTTTTTGAATTTTAAATTTGTCATAGCAATATTTTTTTAAAATTGTTTTCAATTTTTTTTCAACAGGGTATCGCGTCAGATCTTTTTCCAAATGTACAGCTTCCAGATCCTGATTATACGGATTTAAATGCATGCATTCAAGAGGCTTGCACCACAGCAAATATTCAATGTACTCCAATATTTCTGGAAAAAATTCAACAGATTTATGAAATGATGATTGTACGCCATGGATTTATGATTGTTGGATTACCATTCGGTGGAAAAACAACGGCTTATAAAATATTAGCTGATGCTTTGGCTTTATGTGAGGAACGTGTAAGTATATACATATATTAAAATTAAATATTTTTTTGGTAATTTTCTTCTACACATGTTCCTTTATGTGTAAAAAAAATTTTAGAAGAAGAATATATAATATCATTAAAAAAATTTTTTGAAAGAATCGTAACTTTCATCATTTTTATCAAAAAAGAAATAAGAAAAAATACTTATTCTCTTATTTTTCATAAAAATTCCGAGAAAAATAACCCATTCAAAAAAATGGAATAAAAATCTCACATAAAATACCTCACGTAAAATAATTGAAAATTTAAAGTTAAGTTTAAATGTTAAAAAAATGAAAGTAAAAAAATTTTCATATTTTACTAAAAGTTAAAGGAAATTATGTACAATTAAACTTTTCTCTTAAATAGAATTTAATGAACGAACATAAAGTTGAGATGACGATAATTAATCCAAAATCCATAACAATGGGACAATTATATGGACAATTTGATCCAGTTTCTCATGAATGGAGCGATGGTGTTCTTGCCGTTAGTTATCGTAGTTTTGCAATTTCAACAAATGAAAATAGAAAATGGTTAATATTCGATGGACCAATTGATGCCGTTTGGATTGAGAATATGAATACTGTTTTGGATGATAATAAAAAATTATGCCTAATGAGTGGAGAAATCATTCAATTGGCAACGACCACAAATTTAATTTTTGAAACAATGGACTTGGAAGTCGCGTCTCCAGCAACTGTATCACGTTGTGGTAAACGTGTTTTCTAACATTTTATGTTTTATAAATAAAAGAAAAGTTATTAAATTAAAGTCAATCTTATTTAATAATTAATTGAATCGAAAATTAAATAATAATGAAATAATAATAATGATAATAAAAATAATGATATTAAAAAAATATATTTAAAAAGTTTTCTTTTTAAAGGTATGATTTATATGGAACCATCGGCTTTAGGATGGGAACCGCTATTAAAATCATGGATTGAAACAACGCCGAAAATTTTCAGCACTTTTTTAAAAAACTTTTTATACGAATCTTTGTTTATTAGATTTTGTAAACCATTGTTTTTTTTACTTCGACGTGGTGGAGTTGAGGTAAAATAATAATTTTCTTAATATCTCTATCTAATCGAAATTCAAAGGGGAAATATTAAATTTTCCTTTTTAGGAAATGTGTCCAATGCCAGATTCAAATTTACTTCGATCAATAACACATTTAATGGACTGTTTCTTTGATGACTATGAAGATGAAAAATTTGCAAAATCCATTAGTGAATTGGATCTGCGAGCTCAAGTTGAAGTAATTTTTCTTAATCTATTTTTTGGGAATTTCTTTTTTTTTGCTTTTGATAAAATTGATTTTAGTTTTTATTGAGAAACAATAGACGATTATTATTAATTTGAAAAAATAATTTAAAAAACAGGGATCTTTCTTTTTCGCTTGTATTTGGGCAATGGGTGGAACTTTAAAAGCTCAGTACAGAGAAACATTTAGTATTTTGTTTCGAGGACTTTTAGAGAAACAATTTCCAGATTCTCTAATGCGACAATTTCAATTGCTTGAATCCGTTCCTCCACCTCATAAACCCTATATTTTTGTTATGCCAAAAGATGGTCTTGTCTTTGACTACAAATTCATCCGAGAAGTATGTATATTTAAAAATAATATATATTTCTTAAAGTCTTTATCAATTTCTAAAAATTATATTTGTTAAATTCGTATAAATTCTTTTTTTTTCCTACTAATCTATTGACAAAACTTTGCAACCTTTTTTTTAATAAAATCTCTGCGTAATATAATGATTTTTTTGCAGGGCAAAGGAAAATGGAAATTGTGGAGCGATGAATTAATAAATACACCGCCAATACCGAGGGATATTCCTGTGAATCAAATAATTGTACCCACTATCGAGACAATAAGATACACGGCACTTTTTCAATTATTGGTTCAACATCAAAAGCCAGTTTTATTTGTTGGTTCGACAGGCACTGGAAAATCTGTCTACATTATTGATTTTTTATTAAAGAAAAATGACGCTAAAATTTATAAGCCATTGATTATTAATTTTTCGGCACAAACAACAGCCAATCAAACGCAGGATATTATAATGACAAAACTCGATAGAAGAAGAAAAGGAGTTTATGGTCCACCAATTGGTAAACGATGGGTTATTTTTGTCGATGATGTGTCAATGCCAATGAAAGAAATTTATGGTGCACAACCGCCAATTGAACTTCTTCGACAGTGGTTGGATCATTGGTTATGGTATTTAATCATTTTTTTTTATTTAATATATAAGGGAATATTTTCCACTAATGTGGAAAATTCCGTCACCTTTAATGACGGAATTTTTGTTATGTCAAATTTATTTATTTTATATCACAAATGCCTACAGTCCATGTAGAACATAAATTAATTAACTACAGAAAAATATAAAATGAAGACTTAATCTAAGAAATATTAGTAAGAATTTCGATAATAAAAAGTTATCGACTTTTTATTTTTCATAATTTTATAAAGTGGATTTTATAATGATACTAATTTTTATATAAAAGAATTTTTATTCAACTAAATTCTAATTTAACAGAATTTTTATTTAACTGAACTTTCATAAAGCAGATTATATAATACAAAGAATTTTCAAATAATACAATTTCAATTTAACAGAATTCATATCGAGCAAAATTTTCGAAAAATATAATTTTCATTTAATAGAATTGTTCTTTTATCAAATTTTTATTCATTCAAATATATTTTTTTATTCGAAATAACTACAAAAAATTGAACATTCTTAATAGAAAAGAAATTATGAGGTACATTATTATTTTTTTTAATTAAATTATCCGTTGTTTACTAAAATAAAATTAAATTACAACTAATTGATTAAAATTAACATTGATTAAACTAGCATTAATAAATTGGTTGCAGGTAAAAAATGACAAAATTTGGTTCAAATCTAACTCATAACTAAATTCTGAACCGATCTGTGAGAATTGATTTTTTAATTTTTGTTTTATAAATTTTGGATATACTTCCGAAGTAGGGGTACCTCCGATTTTAATAAAACTTGGTATACTAACGTATTTTGGTGCGCTGATTACGAAAATGATAGTGAAAATTGGCGCAAATTTGATTATCATGGTAAACAAGGAGGGGGTCCTTTATGTTTATTTCATAAACATTATGCTTCCTCATTGTGTGAAGCAAAAAATTCGCTTCCTCGTGAAGGAAGCAATGAATTTGTCCAATTCAATTGATTGATTTAAAAACTTTCGAATTAAAAATGTTTTAAATTAATTAAATTTTTTGAAAAATAAAGAAAATTTTAATTAATTTTGAGTGTAACATAAACTTTATATATACGAATCGATTCGTTTTAATGCAAGGAATACAATTATTTTATTCATCAACTTGTATTTAAAAAAAACACAAAATTTTTTAGCTAAAATATGAATTTTCGATTTTTCAATTTTTATTAATTCTCAAATTTTAAATCAAATCTATACTTTATATATACCAACCAATTCGTTTTAATGCAGGGAATAAAATTATTTCATATATAAACATGAATTTAAATAAACACATCATTTTTTAGCTAAAATGAGAATTTTTGATTTTTCTAACTTTCTTTAATTCTTTAAATTTCAATCAAATCTATACTTTATATATATCAATCGACTCATCTTGACATAAAGAAGACGATTATATTATATATTACCTTAAATTTTTCGATTTAAAAATTTTTTCAATTAAAAAAAAAATTTTGGAATAAAGACGATAAAATTTTTTTTTTGGGGTATTTTTAAAAATCCTCTCGTCATTTTTGAGAGATTAATGTGTTAAATAAGCCTACCAAATTTTATTCAAATCCATTAAAACCTGTTAAAGATATCGTGTTCACAAAAACGATCCACACACACATACACACACACACACACATACATCCGGACAATTGATCAGGATCTCATATAACATGTTTCTATATAGAGGAAAATTTGTTTTCACCATTTTTAAAAAGTTTATAAACGAAAGGACTACATAGCTTCCTCCACGAGGAAGCAAAACCATAAAAAACACCATAAAATCATGGTTTTTTGCTATTATCTCGTAAAAAACGCAAAATTTCGAAAAAAGTTTTAGACAAAAGTTGTAGATCTCAAAAAAACACATTTTATGTTGTATGCATTTTTTACCAAAAGTCATTATTTTTCGAGAAAAATCAAAAAAACGATCAAAAACGCCGCAAAATGATGGTAATATAGTAACTAGAGAGGAATTTGGTAGTTGTAAGTATACTAACGTATTTTGGCGCGCTGATTACGAAAATGGTAGTGAAAATTGGAACAAATTTGATTATTATGGTAAAAACCATAAAAAGCACCATAAAATCATGAATTTTTGCGATTATCTCGTAAAAACGCAAAATTTCGAAAAAAATTTTAGACAAAAGTTGTAGATCTCAAAAAATACACGTTTTATGTTTTATGCATTTTTTACCAGAAATCATTATTCTTCGAGAAAAATCAAAAATATGATCAAAAACAGCATAAAATCATGGTTTTTTGTGTTTATCTTTTAAAATATGCTAAATTTTTTAAAAAGTTTGTATAAAACTTACAGATCTCATTAAAGTACAACGAATATTCAGTACAATGGTTTGGTGGCCTTGAAAAAGGCCGATTGATATTATGTTGCAAAGTACAACGGTTTGGTGGCCTTGAAAAAGGCCGATTGATATAATGTTGCAAAGTACAACGTTTTGGGGCCTTGAAAAAGGCCGATTGAGAAAAGTGCCATGTTTTTTAGTTTCTGTGGCCAGGGTAACAAAGCTTGATGTCCGAAATTAATTGTGAAAATGCATCAGCATTTAATTTTCGAACTCTTCGCCGCCACAAAAACTCACAAAGGAGATCTGCAAGATTATTCTTGCGAACACCTCCTTTGCTGAGAGATCGTCGCATCCATCTCCAAGAGGATTCAATATTTTGTGTATGGGCACCAGTAGTGGAGTTTACGAATTCCTCGGAATGATTTACAGTTTTGTGAACATAGCTACACTGTTCTAAATCAATGTAGCCCTTCCAACAATCAGTGTGGATCTCTGTTCCGACAACAACATGTTTTTTAATCAAACTTATTAAAGTATCTTTGTCTCGTTTGTTGTCGGGACAGATTTCCAACCGATAGTTGGAAGAGTGTCCTCTGTGGATCATTCCAAGGATCCATGCACCCTCCACTACTCGACCTCTCTCATACTTTCGACGACCGATTTTACATTCGTCGATTTCTCCTGGACCTCCAATTGGACCCTCTTCTACGAAGTGCTCATCTAGAGCAATCATACAGACCTCACGACAAAAAGAGAATCGATCTGCAATGGTTTCAGACGAAACAGTTTGACCTTCAACAATACTACTCTCTAGAATAGTTTGTTGAAAGTCAAAACTCATTAAGAAGCAATATGTCACTAACATACAAGAAGCCGCAGAGATGTGGCATTCTTCAAACCACGTATTTTCTGCGACAGTATGACGGTGACGATGTTTGCCTTTCTTTTAACAAACGAATTGACCACAAGTAAACAATGATTCATTCAAAGTCATATTCTTTTTATGCTTTGAACAAAAACGTTCTCTTGGGATCAGTTCAACGTCACGTAACCATTGCAGCGTCGATTCTCTTTTTTGGAAAATGGAACTTAAGGCAAAAATATTGAATTTTCGATCCATATTTCCAAACACGCACGTCTGTTGGATGTGGATATAGCCGAAAATATTTTGCGGAAATTGTGGGGTGGAGTCTACAGCAGCGGTGAACGCAAAATAGTAAACACGGCCTTCGGCCGCGTAAGGTACTGCTCGCTTCTCTTTTTAAGAAACCTTGGCGAAAGGGGGTGGATATGGCCGAAAGTATTTAGCAGAAATTGTGGGGTGGAGTCTACAGCAGTGGTAAACGCAAAATAGTAAACACGGCCTTCGGCCGCGTAAGATACTGCTCGCTTTTCTTTTTAAAAAAACCTTGGCGAGAGGGGGTGGATATAGTTGAAAGTATTATGCGGAATTCGTTGGATCCTGAGAAATGGTGAATATGATACTATATACGAGTCAAATAATATGTCTAACCATGACTGTTGTATATGTTTTCATTATCATGGTGTTTTTGATCATATATTGGATTTTTCTCGAAGAATAATGACTTCTGGTAAAAAATGCATAAAACATAAAATGTGTATTTTTTTGAAATCTACAACTTTTGTCTAAAATTTTTTTCGAAATTTTGCGTTTTTTAAGAAATTCCTCTCTAGTTACTATATTACCATCATTTTGCGGCGTTTTTGATCGTTTTTTGGATTTTGCTCGAAAAATAATGACTTTTGGTAAAAAATGCATACAACATAAAATGTGTATTTTTTTGAGATCTACAACTTTTGTCTAAAACTTTTTTCGAAATTTTGCGTTTTTTACGAGATAATAGCAAAAAACCATGATTTTATGGTGTTTTTTATGGTTTTTACCATGATAATCAAATTTGCGCCAATTTTCACTATCATTTTCGTAATCAGCGCAAAAAAATACGTTAGTATACCAAGTTTTATTAAAATCGGAGGTACCACTACTTCGGAAGTACACCCTACATTTTTAATATTAATGCAAACTGTAAAAAAATTATTTTTTAAACTTTTTTGATCTATTTTGTTTCAAATTTTTTTTGTACTTAAGGTTGTCGAACGGTCTCTGAAATTCTTTGGCAAGAAAAGACCTTTTATTATCACCCTGTAAAAACGGCACTGAACGTGAAAATGATAAACATTGATTTTAAAATACTTTTTTCTCGGAACTTTTTTCCTTGCATGCTTCTGCCATCTGACGGCGACAGAACGTAACGAAACATAAACAAATATTTCAAGTAATATTATTATTTAATTTCAATATTCAGGTATTGAAGGACAACTAATACAATAGGGTGTCATAAATGGTTTATTATGACTAGACTTCCAGTCGACTCTATTGTTGTTATCTCTCTTTTTTTTGAATATTTAATATTTTGTAACAAATCAACTTTTAGACCATTGATTTGTATTGTGAATAAAATACTAAAAATTGATTTACAAATGTTCTTCAAAAATTTTTTTAAAATGAAAAAAAGTGAACAATTTTTTAAGATAATTTTGTTTTTAATTTTAAAGAATAACAGGTATTTTATTTAAAATCTTTTATTCCCATGCAGGGAGCACATAGTCGCAATTGTATTTTCGACGATTTTGGAAAAAGTGTCCTTGTTTCGAGAAAAAAGTATTTTAAAATCAATGTTTATTATTTTCTCGTTTAGTGCTGTTTTTAGAGGGCGATAACTTTTCACGTGTATGTACAATTTGCTAAATTAAATTAAAGTAATAATAATAATAATAATAAAATAATATATAAATGTTTTTTAATTTAAACAAAATTTGGAATATTTGTTTCCTTTTTTAAAACAGGTACGATCGAAAGGAAATTACACCTTTGAATTTAATAGAAATTCAATTAATGTGCGCCATGGGTCCACCAGTTGGCGGGGGAAAAGACGTGACACCGAGATTTAAAAGACACTTTTTTGTACTGACAATTTCTGAATTTGAAGATGATGTTATGATTACTATTTTTAGTAAAATTGTTCTCTGGCACTTGGATACAAGGTAAGATTACATTTTTTCTACTTCTAATCAAAAAGACTGTTTTTAGAAATTTTTACGTATTTAATACTTTCTTATACATAAAGCAGCAAATCGTTACTCCCATGTATTTAAAAACAAATTAAAATTCTCAAAAAAATTCAGCTAAATGAATATTTGACTTTCAAACATTTAATTTACTGAAAATGTATTTTAAATGATATTAATTTTTATAAAAATGAAAATAGACAAAGAAAAAGTTCAATAATAAATAGAAAAAAAAGTTAAGATGTTGATTTATTAAGTTTTTATTTGTTATGTCCTTGTTGATCGTTTTTGATAATATAAACAAAGGAGGACGTTAATATTATTAGAAAAAAAATAATTTTTTTCCAACAAAATTTTAATCATTTGTTTTTTAGAGGATTTAGTAAAGAATTTGATCCGTGCATCGATCAAATTGTACTTGCGACTTTGGATATTTATAAACAGAGTTTAAAAAATCTATTGCCAACTCCTGCAAAATCTCACTATATTTTTAATCTTCGTGATTTTTCAAGAGTAATTCAGGTGAAAGAATAGTATACTCGAGTTGCACATAGTGCTTTGTAAATAGAACCTTGAATTTTTGTTTATATATATAGGGCGTTTTACTGTCAGTTCCTGAAACAATGCCTTCATTGGTGAATATGAAGAGACTTTGGGTTCATGAGGTTCTTCGCGTTTTTGGCGATCGTCTTGTAGATCAATCAGATTTAAATTGGCTCATAAAACAATTGCACACTACCGTTAAAGAACAAATGGAGACGGATATGAATATTATGTTCGAAGATCTCTTACAAGACAATAAAAAATCGGTAATTAGAAAATTATACCTTTTTTTTAAAAAAAATACTTAACATCAAGTTGCAATTTAGAAAACGTAAATTTTAAAAATATTTTCAATTTTTAAATATTTTCCAATTATATTTTGAATATTTATCGCATTTAATTTTTAATTTATTTTTCAATTATATTTTGTTTTTATTTAAAAATGTTTTTATTAAAATAATTTTTGTTCATATTTGGCATAAAAATTCGGATTATATTTTGTGTATTTTCATCAGGTAAGTGACGATGAATTAAGAAGACTGGTTTTCTGCGACTTTACTGATCCAAAAGCAGATGTTCGATTATATCAAGAAGTTGTTGATTTGGAAGCCTTACGTGGAATTGTTGAAACATATCTGACCGAGTACAACTCGATGACAAAGAAGCCAATGAACTTGGTACTCTTCAGGTAAACTTGAAAAAATTAAAACACAAATAAATTAATTTTCATCTAACACTGAATTTATTAAAATAATGAAAAATTCAAATCAAATTATAAAATAAATTATTTAATAATTATTAAAGTAAAGGAGTAATAAAATTTAAAGTAATTAATTAAAATTTTTATAAATTGTTTTATTTTATTCATCTTATTTATTAAAATTAAAAATTTTAATAATTGACTTATTATATTTAAATAAAAATAAGAATAAAGAATACAAATTTTAAACTATTAAAATAGTGATTATTTTAAGTTCAGTTTGATTAATTCTTTTTATATTATTACATATTAGTTTTTTAATTATATCAAAAATTCGTATATCGATTTTGCAGATTTGCCATTGAACATTTGTCAAGAATTTCACGCATCATAAAGCAACCGAGAAGTCATGCTCTTCTAGTTGGTGTCGGTGGTTCTGGAAGGCAATCATTAACAAGATTAGCGTCACACATTTGCGACTATGATGTTTTTCAAGTCGAAATTAGTAAACATTATGGAATGCACGAATGGCACGAGGATATTAAATTGATTTATAAAAAAACAACAAATTCCGAACTTCATTCAACTTTTCTCTTCACTGATTCGCAAATTAAGGAGGAGAGCTTTTTAGAAGACATCAATAATATTCTCAATTCAGGCGAGGTACGTTAAAAAACGAATCACTAAAATTAAAAACCCATTTTTTTTATCCACAAATCTTAAGTATTCAATTTTTAAATTCTGAGTTATATTATTTAGTTTTTTTTCATGAAGCCAAAACTATCACAGAGTTATCAATACATCTCAAAGGTAGAAAAAAATAGAACATTAGTTAAATTTAGTCAAGGAAAAATCAGGAATTTTTTTCTAATTTTTCATTTAAGAAATTTTCCCAAAATTACATTTGGACGCATAATAAGTTCACTGGTGGTTTTTCTACTAGTTTTCCAACCCTAGAAAGAGAGAAAAAATTTGTCTTTTACATAATTCTAGTCAGGAAAGAAAATAAGTATTGTTTTCTCTAGTTTACAATAGAGAATCTTTGTCAGCTATTAAAGTTGGTCGTTTCACCGATTCTCAAGTGGCATTTCTACTAGTTTTCAACTAGTTTTCAACCTCAGAAAGGGAGGAAAAAATTGTTCTTAACATATTGTCTTTTCTAGTCAGGAAAGAAAATTAGAATTTTTTCTCCCGTTTACAATAAATATTCGTTGTCAGATATTAAAGTTGGTCGTTTCACTGATTCTCAAGTGGCTTTTCTACTAGTTTTCAACCTCAGAAAGGGAGGAAAAAATTGTCTTTTACATAATTCTAGTCAGGAAAGAAAATAAGTATTGTTTTTTCTAGTTTACAATAAAGAATCTTTGTCAGATATTAAAGTTGGTCGTTTCACCGATTCTCAAGTGACTTTTCTACTAGTTTTCCACCTCAGAAAGGGAGGAAAAAATTGTCTTTTACATAATTCTAGTCAGGAAAGAAAATAGGAATTTTTTTTTTAGCTTAAAATAGAGAATCTTTGTCAGCTATTAAACTTGGTCGTGTCACCGATTCTCAAGTGGCTTTTCTACTAGTTTTCCACCTCAGAAAGGGAGGAAAAAATTGTCTTTTACATAATTCTAGTCAGGAAAGAAAATAGGAATTTTTTTTTTAGCTTAAAATAGAGAATCTTTGTCAGCTATTAAACTTGGTCGTGTCACTGATTCTCAAGTGGCTTTTCTACTAGTTTTCCACCTCAGAATGGGTGGCAAAAATTGTATTTTACATAATTCTAGTCAGGAAAGAAAATAGGAATTTTTTTTCTAGCTTAAAATAGAGAATCTTTGTCAGCTATTAAACTTGGTCGTGTCACCGATTCTCAAGTGGCTTTTCTACTAGTTTTTAACCTCAGAAAGGAAGGAAAAAATTATCTTTTACATAGTTCTAGTCAGGAAAGAAAATAGGAATTTTTTTTTCTAGTTTACAATAGAGAATCTTTGTCAGCTATTAAAGTTGGTCGTTTCACCGATTCTCAAGTGGCTTTTCTACTAGTTTTCAACTAGTTTTCAACCTCAGAAAAGGAGGAAAAAATTGTTCTTAACATATTGTCTTTTCTAGTCAGGAAAGAAAAGTAGAATTTTTTTTCCAGTTTACAATAAAGAATCTTTGTCAGCTATTAAAGTTGGTCGTTTCACCGATTCTCAAGTGGCTTTTCTACTAGTTTTCAACCTCATAAAGGGAAGAAAAAATTGTCTTTTTCATAATTCTAGTCAGGAATGAAAATAGGAATTTTTTTTCTAGTTTACAATAGAGAATCTTTGTCAGATATTAAAGTTGGTCGTTTCACCGATTCTCAAGTGACTTTTCTACTAGTTTTCCACCTCAGAAAGGGAGGAAAAAATTGTCTTTTACATAATTCTAGTCAGGAAAGAAAATAGGAATTTTTTTTTTAGCTTAAAATAGAGAATCTTTGTCAGCTATTAAACTTGGTCGTGTCACCGATTCTCAAGTGGCTTTTCTACTAGTTTTCCACCTCAGAAAGGGAGGAAAAAATTGTCTTTTACATAATTCTAGTTAGAAAAGAAAATAGGAATTGTTTTTTTTAGCTTAAAATAGAGAATCTTTGTCAGCTATTAAACTTGGTCGTTTCACCGATTCTCAAGTGGCTTTTCTACTAGTTTTCAACTAGTTTTCAACCTCAGAAAGGGAGGAAAAAATTGTTCTTAACATATTGTCTTTTCTAGTCAGGAAAGAAAAGTAGAATTTTTTTTCCAGTTTACAATAAAGAATCTTTGTCAGCTATTAAAGTTGGTCGTTTCACCGATTCTCAAGTGGCTTTTCTACTAGTTTTCCACCTCAGAAAGGGAGGAAAAAATTTTCTTTTACATAATTCTAGTCAGGAAAGAAAATAAGTATTGTTTTCTCTAGTTTACAATAGAGAATCTTTGTCAGCTATTAAAGTTGGTCGTTTCACCGATTCTCAAGTGGCTTTTCTACTAGTTTTTAACCTCAGAAAGGAAGGAAAAAATTATCTTTTACATAGTTCTAGTCAGGAAAGAAAATAGGAATTTTTTTTTCTAGTTTACAATAGAGAATCTTTGTCAGCTATTAAAGTTGGTCGTTTCACCGATTCTCAAGTGGCTTTTCTATTAGTTTTCCACCTCAGAAAGGAAGGAAAAAATTATCTTTTACATAATTCTAGTCAGGAAAGAAAATAAGTATTGTTTTCTCTAGTTTACAATACAGAATCTTTGTCAGCTATTAAAGTTGGTCGTTTCACCGATTCTCAAGTGGCTTTTCTACTAGTTTTCCACCTCAGAAAGGAAGGAAAAAATTATCTTTTACATAATTCTAGTCAGGAAAGAAAATGGGAATTTTTTCTCCAGTTTACAATAAAGATTCGTTGTCAGCTATTAAAGTTGGTCGTTTCACCGATTCTCAAGTGGCTTTTCTACTAGTTTTCCACCTCAGAAAGGGAGGATAAAATTTTCTTTTACATAATTCTAGTCAGGAAAGAAAATTAGAATTTTTTCTCCAGTTTACAATAAAGATTCGTTGTCAGCTATTAAAGTTGGTCATTTCACCGATTCTCAAGTGGCTTTTCTACTAGTTTTCCACCTCAGAAAGGGAGAAAAAAATTGTCTTTTACATAATTCTAGTCAGGAAAGAAAATGGGAATTTTTTCTCCAGTTTACAATAGAGAATCTTTGTCAGCTATTAATCTTGGTCGTGTCACCGATTCTCAAGTGCTTTTCTAGTAGTTTTCCACCTCAGAAAGGGAGGAAAAAATTGTCTTTTACATAATTCTAGATAGAAAAGAAAATAGGAATTTTTTTTTCTAGTTTACAAAAGAGAATCTTTCTCAGCTATTAAAGTTGGTCGTTTCACCGATTCTCAAGTGGCTTTTCTACTAGTTTTCAACCTCAGAAAGGGAGAAAAAAAATGTCTTTTACATAATTCTAGTCAGGAATGAAAATAGGAATTTTTTTTCTAGTTTACAATAGAGAATCTTTGTCAGCTATTAATGTTGGTCGTTTCACCGATTCTCAAGTGGCTTTTCTACTAGTTTTCCACCTCAGAAAGAAAGGAAAAAATTATCTTTTACATAATTCTAGTCAGGAATGAAAATAGGAATTTTTTTTCTAGCTTACAATAGAGAATCTTTGTCAGCTATTAAACTTGGTCGTGTCACCGATTCTCAAGTGGCTTTTCTACTAGTTTTCAACCTCAGAAAGGGAGGAAAAAATTGTCTTTTACATAATTCTAGTCAGGAATGAAAATAAGTATTGTTTTTTCTAGTTTACAATAATGAATCTTTCTCAGCTATTAAAGTTGGTCGTTTCACCGATTCTCATGTGGCTTTTCTACTAGTTTTCCACCTCAAAATGGAAGGAAAAAATTGTATTTTACATAATTCTAGTCAGGAATGAAAATAGGAATTTTTTTTCTAGCTTACAATAGAGAATCTTTGTCAGCTATTAAACTTGGTCGTGTCACTGATTCTCAAGTGGCTTTTCTACTAGTTTTCCACCTCAGAATGGGAGGAAAAAATTGTATTTTACATAATTCTAGTCAGGAAAGAAAATAGGAATTTTTTTTCTAGCTTAAAATAGAGAATCTTGGTCAGCTATTAAACTTGGTCGTGTCACCGATTCTCAAGTGGCTTTTCTACTAGTTTCCCACCTCAGAAAGGGAGGAAAAAATTTTCTTTTACATAATTCTAGTCAGGAAAGAAATTAGGAATTTTTTTTTCTAGTTTACAATAAGGAATCTTTGTCAGCTATTAAAGTTGGTCGTTTCACCGATTCTCAAGTGGCTTTTCTACTAGTTTTCAACTAGTTTTCAACCTCAGAAAGGGAGGAAAAAATTGTTCTTAACATATTTTCTTTTCTAGTCAGGAAAGAAAAGTAGTATTTTTTTTCCAGTTTACAATAAAGAATCTTTGTCAGCTATTAAAGTTGGTCGTTTCACCGATTCTCAAGTGGCTTTTCTACTAGTTTTCCACCTCAGAATGGAAGGAAAAAATTTTGTTTTACATAATTCTAGTCAGGAAAGAAAATAAGTATTGTTTTCTCTAGTTTACAATAGAGAATCTTTGTCAGCTATTAATGTTGGTCGTTTCACCGATTCTCAAGTGGCTTTTCTACTAGTTTTCCACCTCAGAAAGAAAGGAAAAAATTATCTTTTACATAATTCTAGTCAGGAAAGAAATTAGGAATTTTTTTTTCTAGTTTACAATAAGGAATCTTTGTCAGCTATTTAAGTTGGTCGTTTCACCGATTCTCAAGTGGCTTTTCTACTAGTTTTCCACCTCAGAAAGGGAGGATAAAATTTTCTTTTACATAATTCTAGTCAGGAAAGAAAATTAGAATTTTTTCTCCAGTTTACAATAAAGATTCGTTGACAGCTATTAAAGTTGGTCATTTCACCGATTCTGAAGTGGCTTTTCTACTAGTTTTACACCTCAGAAAGGGAAGAAAAAATGGTCTTTTTCATAATTCTAGTCAGGAAAGAAAATAGGAATTTTTTTTCTAGCTTACAATAAAGAATCTTTGTCAGCTATTAAAGTTGGTCGTTTCTCCGATTCTCAAGTGGCTTTTCTACTAGTTTTCCACCTCAGAAAGGGAGGAAAAAATTGTCTTTTACATAATTCTAGTCAGGAATGAAAATAGGAATTTTTTTTCTAG